CCTTCCTTCCTTCCTTCCTTCCTTCCTTCCTTCCTTCCTTCCTTCCTGTTTTTCTTTTCTTTTCTTTTCTTTTTTTTTTTTGAGACAGGATTTCTCTGTGTAACAGTCCTGGCTGTCTTGGAACTCACTCTGTAGACCAGGCTGGCCTTGAATTCACAAAGATCTACCTATCTCTGGAACTCACTCTGTAGACTAGGCTGGACTCACAGAGATCCGCCTGCCTCTGCCTCCTGAGTGCTGGGATTAAAGGTGTGAGCCCGGCTTCACTCTTCATTTTGTAGAAGTACTGGGATTATAGATGTGTGCTACCACATCAGTTTTTTTTTTTTTAGTTTGTTTATGTAGTTTATATATAAATGCTCTGTCAGCATGTATGCCTGCTGGCCAGAAGAGAGCATCAGATCCCATTATAAGCCACCACAAGCCATCATGTGGTTGCTGGAACTTGAACTCAGGACCTGTGGAAGAGCAGTCAGTGCTTTTAAATGCTAAGCCATCTTTCCTGTCCCCACAGCAGGTCCCCTCTGCCACCCCGAGACAGGTTTCTCTGTAGCTTTGGAGTCTATCCTGGAACTAGCTCTTGTAGACCAGGCTGGCCTCAAACTCACAGAGATCCACCTGCCTCTGCCTCTTGAGTGCTGGGATTAAAGGCATGTGCTACCACTGCCCAGCTAAAGAAGTATCTTGTCATGTGGCCAAGAATGCCCAGAAACTTTCTATCTTCCTGCCTCAGCACAGAGATTTCAGGCATTGCTCCTTTGTCCTCACAGGCACTTGTGGGATGCATGTCCCTGCTGAAAAGTTGCTGTGATAATTAATGGCCATGCCCCCTTACTGACCTGGGCTCAACCTCTGGCCTAGGATGCTTGCATGGTCACCACAGAATTACAAATTATGGGGAAGGTCTGGGTTAAGAGACAGAATATATTTTGCTGAAAATACATATATGTGTGTGGCATCAGAAGAGGATGCTCTCTGAGAGAGTTTCAGTTTGTTCTGATATAAAAATGGACTAGGTGCAGATCTCAGTGGGAGAAACCAGCAGGAGCACATTGGATCCCAGGCCATCTGTTCCCAGGGTGCTCGTCAGGCAGCGTCTTGAGGGAGTGGTACGGGGTGCCCATGGTACTTCTATAACCTGTCCATCATGGCGAGCAAGTCATCTCCCTTGCTTGCGCTCTGCTCTGTGATCTCTGGCTGCTCTGTGATCTCAAACTCCTCCATGATCCGGGCCAACTCCTCATTCCGTTGCTGGTCCTGTGGGAGAAATGAGGGGAGAGAAAGAGGACATGTTTGCAGGGCTCCTATCTGCACCAGGAGATATTTAAGTTTCATGCTGTCAAGGGGCTCAGCTCTTTGCCAGATTAGGGACAAACACAATAGGAAACCATTAGAGACTAATTTTTTTGTTTTGTTTCTTCTTTTCTCTCTCTCTTTTTTTTATTTTATGAACCTGGAGGGACAGCCGTGGGTGCTGGGAACCGAACTCTTATATTTTTGGTTGTGAGCCTAGCCTTTAACGGCTGAGCCATCCCTCCAGGCCTTTTGTTTTGTTTCTTAAGACAGGGCTATACTGTGTAGTCCTGGCTATTCTGGAACTCACTCTGTAGACTGGGCTGTCCTCAAACTCACAGAGATCAACCTGCCTTTGCCTACTAAGTGCTGGAATAAAGGTGTGCACCACCACTACCTGGCTCAAATTTTTTTTAAAGATTTATTTTATTTTTATTTTCTGTGAATGAGTGTTGTGTCTTCACGTATGTATGTGTAACACGTAGCACCTATTTCCCCACAGTGGCCAGAAGAGGGCATCGGATCCCCTGGAGGTGGAGGTACAGATGGTTGTGAGCCACCATATAGGTGCCAGGAATTGGATTAGTAGCCCCTGCAAGAGCAGCTGGGGCTCTTAACCACTGAGCCATATTCATCCTTGGAGAGCAAAGTTTTTCTACAAGATGATGATGAGGATACGTACCTGTGTAGCCTGTATGTTGATGACTTCATAGGATAACTCCTCTGGCCTGGACAGTGCTGCATGTCTGGATGAGGCAGGAAGAAATGAGCCCAGGATACAATGTTAGGGTTTCGTCTTCCTAGCATGGTAAGAACTCATGAGACTATGAGATTAGTCATGAGAACATGATGATCTGTTTCCTCTGCATCGTTTTTTTGCCATTTCCCCTCGCTTTTCCATTCTACCTCCCCCTCACGTTCTTATATTTCAAGAAAGTCACGTGTTTGTGTCTCTGCTCAGCAACTCCTGAGGCCCAGACCACACGCCAGTCCCTCCAATCTGCAGTGCGGATCAGTCTTCCCGACAGCATTTGTGACCCAGCGGCTAAAATGGCTCCTGCTCTGCTCTTCATTCTCCTACCAGAGCCTCCTGAGGGCAGGCCAGGCTCAGGGGCTTAAACTCCATATTTGTATGTGTGCATGAGTGTATGCACATGTGCCATGGCAAGAATGCAGAAGTCAGAAGACACTTTGTGGGTATCAGTTCTCTCTTCCCACCATAGGGGTCCCTGGGCTCGAACTCAGGTCTCAGGCTCGGGCTTTTAGCTGCTAAGTCAAAAACCTCACCAACCCAGCCTGGTCAGCTTTTTTTTTTCTTTTGGTTTCTTGAGACAGGGTTTCTCTGTAGTTTTGGAGTCTGTCCTGAAACTAGCTCTTGTAGACCAGGCTGGCCTTGAACTCACAGAGATTCGCCTATCTTTGCCTCTCAAGTGCTGGGATTAAAGGTGTGCGCCACCTGGTCAGCTTCTTGCTTAGCTGCTCTGCTTAGTAAAACATCAGAACTTTGGGGAATGACTTCTGGGGTTCCATCTCTTTACTCCCCAGGGAGTCTTTAATCAGGTCAACATGGATTGCTGGTGTTTCACTTCCGGTTTTCACATCTGTGTTCCTGTGTTGGTCAGCAGTTGTCGTCTGTGTTCTTAGCACATGTAAGGGATTTACATATGTATTTAAACAAGAATCTATCTATCTATCTATCTATCTATCTATCTATCTATCTATCTATTTATTTTGAGACAAGGTTTCTCTGTACTTTTGGAGTCTGTCCTGGAACTCTCTCTGTAGACCAGGTGGATCTCACAGAGATCCGCCTGCCTCTGCCTCCCGAGTGCTGGGATTAAAGGCATGTGCTACTACTGCCCAGCATATTACATATCTTTAAAGAATGGATTTAGGGTTGAATAGATTTTTGATTAGCAGAGCGCTAAATCCCGGATTTGATTCCCTATACATTAGTGCAGTGGCGCACACCTGTGATCCCAGCACTTGGGAAGCAGAGGCAGGAGGATCAGGGGTTTTTTTTTTTTTTTGGAGGGGGGATGCAATTCTTTATTGGAATACTCCCAATTGTATTTGCAAACATTTAACACAAAGGGGGAAACAGAAACAGCCCTACATCCTACAACCAGAAATAAGATGTCTAGAGACTGAGGCTAGCCTGGAACTAGAGAGCCCCCTGCCTTTGCCTTCAGGTGCTGGGATTACAGATGTGTACCACATTTATCCTGGCTCAACACTTGATTCACCTTTATATAACCTAGTAACTGGTTCCCAGCAGCCAGCCTTTGGAGGCTCAATACTGACATCCAAAGACTGCTGGGCTCCAGTGTCATGGTTCTCCACTGGAGAACTCTGGGTTGTCCCCCCCTCCCCCAAGCACCACCTCAGGAAGCTTCTGGGATGGGACCTTAGAGACAGCTACAGAACGCGGCTGAGTGGCAGCCTCAGGGACTTCAGCGGGAGACCGCTGAGTGTCAGGGGGACCAGGAGGTCAAGGCCGTTCATTCTCAGCCACACAGCGAATCTGGGGTCGTCCGGGCTCTAGGAGACCCTGCCCAAAACAAGCAAAAGAGAACAGGTTTGAAACGTACTCCTCCTCTTCATCGGTCGTAAACAGATTCAACCGGAATCCTGGTTCAGGGCCGCTCGTTTTCTTGATCTCCATCCCTCCCATTAGCCTGGCCAAGAAATTCAGCTCTTCTTTGGCAAGAGGGTTTGGAGCAATGTTTTCCTGTAGAGACAACTATGTGATTTGTAGCCACACAGGGCGATTGTATTTCCTGCCAAGACCCCAGAGATGCAGGGAGGAATTATACAGCAAGGCAAAAACAATAACAGTTTAAATTATTTCTGGGCTCAACTACCACACAGAAAGCAAGCTTAGCCAGAAGAATAATCCAGGCATCAGCAGAGAGACTCTAGTAAAGAAGCAAACCACAGACTTTCAGCTTTGAAGCTGAGTGGAATGCCCCGGGGACCCACACTTCTCAGGCTGCCTTCCTCCTGGGAGGGGAGGAGAAGGGCCCTGCTTCCTCTTCAGTCAGTCCAGTTCCCTCTGCCAAGTGGCTCCTGTCAAGTCTGCAGAGCAAGGGGACCATTCCGGAGGAACTCCCATACTGCCCTCTGCTGGTGATATTCAGGAACACAGACTCTAGGTCATTCCCTGACTTCATCTTTCTGCCTGGCTGGGACTCTATCTAACCCACTACCATCAGTTACTGAAAACACATTTTTGTCTTTTGTCTTTCATGGAACAAAGACCCCTGCCCCCTGCCTCCTGCATAAAGAACAAAATGGAGTTAAGACCTTTCTTATCAGAGTCCAGTAAAACCTCAGCCTCTGCTGTTTTTACTGCAAACAGGACACTTTTGCCACCTCGACTGTCACCCACTTCTCTTGCCCACTCTGGAGCCCTGTTTCCCTGCCACCTCCTCTGAAAGCCTTGTCACCACGCTCCCACCCCAAAGGACAGAGCGCAGTCTTCTGGCACAGACTGTCAACACGCCGCTTCCATCTTGTTGCTGTTTGTTTCCAGCACTGCCCTTCCCAGGGAACCAAAAGCTTCTAGAGGATGGGACCACATCATCGCCAGCCCATGGACACGGTTCTTACTTAATTACTGAACAGTCCATGATTTGTCCCACAGCTGGTGTGTGGCTAGTTAGTGAAAATTTGTAGATAGGGAACTCGGAGGAGTGAAACATCATGTTGAAAGGGGCTACCACATCCTTAAAACCAGGAGGCACTGAAGAGGGACGATTTGATGCCCGAATTTGCACGCGTTGGACCCGGCAGCCACAGGCCTCGTGGCTCTGGCATTTGCCATGCCCTGGTATGTGGCTCTTATTTAATTATAGTGGCGAACCAATCCCCAAATTACCTAATTAGTCAGATCACTGGAAGGCTCTGAGAACAGCTACAATTAGAAACCTGTGTCCTTGTCAGGCTGAAGGGAAGGCTGCAAACAGCGAGGTAAAGGTGACTCGCTCTGGAAGCTGAAGTCCCCCCAACCCCCAATCAGACATTTGGATGTAGAAAGAAGCAGGGGAAAAGAAAGAAGGGAGGGCAGACGTTCACCTGTGTCCTTGAGGCTAAGTTCTTTGATGTTGCAGACATATGGGTTTCCACAGGCCGATTCACGCTGTACCTGGTGGCAACAGGAAACGGTGTTACCCACCTGGTTCACTGACTCCCTTCTAACCAGCAAGCAAAGTTGTCACTTTTTGTTGAGACATTGAAAGGCACCAGAAAAGGGCTATGAGTGTAGAACTCACCTGAGTTGTGAACTGCTCACATTTTACCCCCTCCCCAAGAAGTAAACCCAGAAAGAATAGCACTGAGGTCAGGCAGGGGTGGCACACACCTTTAATCTCAGCACTTAGAAGGCAGAGGCAGGCAAATTTCAGTGAGTTCAAGGCCAGTCTGGTTTACAAACCAAGTTCCAGGACAGCCAGGACTGTTACACAGACAAACCCCGTCTCGAAGAAGAAAAAAACCAGAATAGCACTGAGGACATGGATAACATACCAGGGAGGTCATACGGCGTTCTACAGCCAAGAGACACTGGCTACTTCTCCTCCATGGTGATTTAACATTATACATCTTTTGCCTTTGGAAATGTTCCTAGGGATCCTTAACCCTTAAATGTCAGGGTTGTATGAGCATTATATTTGGGGGAAATTACTCCACTGATTAATAGGATTTGTTTGTTTTGCTCCCAGACAGGCTCTCGTGTACTCTAGGCTAGCCTTAAACTCACCATGTAGCCCAGGATGATCCTGATGAACTTTTATCCTCTTGCCTCCGTATCCCAAATGCTGGGATTATAGACTTGCACCATTATGCAGTTTATGTGGTATTGGGCACATAAGGCAGAGCTTCCTGTGTGCTAGGCAAGTACCCTATTAGCTGTGCCACATCCTCAGTGTAATGGTCTATCCTGTCCCTTTAAGAGACAAGCCATGCCCACTCCCTCCCCCATCCACCCAGGCAAGCTGATCTTCAGCTTCCAGCTTGAGTCCCTTCCTTTCAGCCTCTCTCTCAAAGAGGCAGCTTCTGTCTCTCTCCTCTCCTCACTTCTCCCCTCCCTCATTTCTCTCTCTCTCTCTCTCCTTTCCCCCTTCTCTCCTATCCCTCCATAACCCACTGAATAAATATCCAGCTTCACTCTTCACTCTGCATGGTGTGCTTACCTGTCTCGGTCTCTCACCTGCCATGTGGCTTCCTGCCTGGGACCCGGCTGCCTTTATGGTCTGCCATGGTCTCGGGACCGCTGCCTGCTGCCATCACTCAGGGACCGGCAGCATTTTACTTAACCATTACACTCAGTATAGTCAGCAGCGATTTTTCAGAGCAGAGGTCTGTTTTTTCTTTTTTCTTTTTAATGACATGACCTCTGTGGACTTACGTTCATTCAGAGGGAGAATTTGCTTACATGTTAGTTCCCAGTTTTAAGACTCTGTCTCCATACAGCTCAAAAGAACCTTCCTTATATGCGGCAACATAGTCTCCGCCATGGTTGAATTCTATCTTCTTTACTTCTTCGCTTTTGTCGTTGAACATTCTGAAATAGAAAGGATGGCATGATAGGAATTCTCTAAACCCTGGAGTCTCAGAGGCTACCTATCATGTGTGCACAGCAGGACAAAAAGGAATTCAACCCCTCTTTGGAGATAAAGAAGCTAGGCTGGGGGACTGGAGAGATGGCTCAGAAGTAAGAGCAGTGGCTGCTCTTCTAGAGGTCCTGAGTTCAATCCCAGCACCCTCATGGTGGCTCACAACCATCTATAATGAGATCTTCTGGCGTGCAGGCATGCAGAACTCTGTATACATAATAAATAAATAAATTTAAAAAAAAGAAGCTAAGCTGGAGGTATAGTTCAGCACACTTGCTTAGCATGTGCAAGATTGTGGGTTCTATTCCTAGGGACCCTAAAACCAACCAAACAAAAGATAAAGACAAGCCGGGTGGTGGTGGCACACGCCTTTAATCCCCAGAACATGGGAGGCAGAGGTAGGAGGATCTCTGTGAGTTCGAGGCCAGCCTGGTTTACAGAGTGAGTTCCAGGACAGCCAAGGCTACACAGAGAAACTCTGTCTCAAAAAAACCAAAAGGAAAAAAAAAAAAAAAAAGAAAGATGAAGACAATTCTGAATTCTGACAGTTGGGCAGAGGCATGAGATCTGCGTAAACATCTCAGAGTGTGGCCTTCTCACAACAATCGCTTAAGAGATGAGGAGATGGACCTAGGAAGTGGGTAGCTCCCCAAGTATCCTCCACTCAAGTGGCTACGGGGGGATTCATCCTTGACCTCTGGATAGCGGAGCTTTACTGAAGAAGGGATAGGTAAGCAGAGCTGGAGGGGCTCTGCAGTGCTACACTCCTGGGGTGGGCATGTTGTGTTTCTGGCCCCTCAAACAGGGTGAGCAGTGACCACTGAGGATTTACCTGATGACTCCAGGAACTTCAGTTCCCCAGGGAACAGGCCCGGACACTGGCAATACAAAGCGACCATTAGAATTTTGAACTTTGTCCTTTAGAAATGTGGATACCTGAAAAAAAAATTATATGTCATTTTTCTGCTATGTTTTCATGGACACACATGTTCTGAGAATGAACACTGAGCAATGGTTTGTGAAGCTATCCAGTGAGCTTGTAACATGAAGGAAGGGACATACCAAAATGGACATGCAGATTTTAGAGTGGCTTTACCCACACAATGACTTCACACACACACATGTTCATATTCATTTATGTGTAGCTATGTGTATGTGTGCATAAGTGTATGTGCACATATGCATGTGGGTGCCGGTGGAAGGCCAGGAGGCAGGGGGTCCCTTGGAGCTAGAGTTAGTTCTAAGTTCTAAGTTATGAGTCACCCAAAATAAGCACTCATAACTGCTGAACCACTTCTCCAGCCCCATATAATAAGATGACTTCTAAGCTTGACCCTAAACCTTCAAATGTTTTCTTGTTTTAAAGATGAGGAAAATTTACAAAAACAGAACCCAGGAACACAAGTCAGTGGTAGAGCACTGGCTTAGCATGTGTAAGACCCTGGCATCAAGGATGGGGAGCAGGCAGAGCCTACACATAGTAGGAGCTCAATAAAAGGCAGCTAATTCTTTCTTAGTCTGCCTGGAGGATTGGGGGTGCAGTTAGTTTAGAGCACTTGCTAAGCATGGCTGAGGCCCTGGGTCCATACTCCAGAGATAGAAGACAGAAAAGGCCTATGTGGACCCAGGACACAAACATACATGTAAAAACACCACGTGGTGGTCTGAATGAGAATGGGCCTCGGCTCACTTCAATACTTGGTCTCTAGTTGTTGGAACTGTCTGGAAAGGATTAGGAAGTGTGTCTTTGATAGAGGAGGTGTGACCTTGTTGGTGGAGCTGTCATTAGGGGCAGGCTTTGAGGTCTCATTCACCCTGCCTTGTGTTGCTCTTCCAGAAGGCCGGGGTTCAATTCCCAGCACTTACATGATGGTTTACAGCTGTCTGTAACTCTAGTTCCAGGGCTCTGACACCTTCACACCAACACACATAAAATAAAGTTAAATAAATTATTTTTTTTTAAAAAGCCTGTACTAATAGGCCAAACAGTTTATAATGTGTTTCTTTGGGACTGAATGGCTGTGGGATTGGGTGGGTCAGAAACTTTAGTCTACAGAAGGGAAGGGAATATTCACGGAGAGTTAAGATAGGGTGATGCTTTCAATAATGCAGACGATGGGAGGAGCAGGAGAGTCGTGATGGAAGAAGGCAAGAACGTGAAATCATAGGGTCAGAGGGATGGTGGAGGAGCAAGGCCTTCCGGAGCAGCTCTGGAGTGTCTCCAGAGGGCTGAAGGGGATTGTGGGGCTGTGGCAATCGTAACTAACCCTTGAGGAGCCTAAATGGAACTGGTCCTAGTGAAGTCTCTGTCAAGGTCCCTGTGCACAGGCCAGGACTTTGGCCGCATTCACGATGCCTCACGTGGTTCCATGATATAGAAAGCTTGGTATTGGATATGCAGTTTTGTATTTACTTTGGTTAAAAAAGCAAGAGTGCAGAACTGTGTTTGCTTGATTTAGTTGGTTTTGCTAACAAATTTAAAATATATCAAGACTATTTTGAAAACAGAAAATTTGTATGGGCAATCACAAGTTGCAGGGGAACAGAAACACCATTAAAGACCAGACATGGGAAGCCAGCCCAGATGTTCAGATCATTGGCAGAGGACTGCCAAGCTGTGTGATTCATCCCTATTCCAAATCAGGCTCCTCCCCCCCACCCAGGCTAGACTCCTAGCTAAGGATGACCTTGAACTCCTGTTCCTCTGGCCTCTACTTCCCCAGTGGAGGATTACAGGTGAGCCTGCCATGACTGGCTATGATTTTGATGTTTTCTTGTTTACCCGTTTAGCAATTAAAGTCCAATATATTTAGTGACTTAATACATTTTAATGAGTTCACTATAGAATTATTATTAGGCATGTCTTTTCATTACAATGAATTTTATTTCCTCACAACTGAGAAATCAATATGGCTGTTTATATTACTGCATTCCATAAAAATGCCTAAATATGCACGGTCCTGGAAACACCGTGAAGTGGAGTTTTCAGTAGTTCAAATTGATGTCAAATCTGCGCAAAACATCTTGCTTGCACTTTCATATTTTTATATTTTCATCCACAAACATTAGAGATCTTAGTTTATATTCATGTTTTTCTGGCTCCATCCCTAGCTAATACAATGAAATTATTCATGAGGGTTAAAAATAAAATTGGCATTAGAGCTGAAATCTATTTATCATCCGTCCCCTGGAAGAGAAACACATTCAGGCGTAAACCACACTCTAGTCCTTTCCTTGATTTTGGTTTTCATTTGTGCGTAAGTATGAGGTCCCAAAGGTGCAGGAGGGTCTGTGCCCCTCTCTTCTGCTCGTCCTCCACAGTTCCTGACTCCAGGAGGCAGAATCATGATGAGTTTCTTACATATCCTTTGTAGAAGTGGTCTATACCATTCACATACAAGCGCACACATGTAACATGTATATTACATATGTCCCTTCACTGGGTTCTTCCAGCAAACTCTAAATTACATACTGTCATTTCCACTTCCAGGTAAAGGTGTAGGATTTAAGAGCAGTGATTGGCTCAGGGTCAAGGGCTCAGTGTGCAGCTGGTACTGTTTAGCACCAGGGCCGTGGCTGGTTTGACTATCTTTCACCTCAGTTGGCTCAACTTTAGGAAGGAACAAGCCCCATCTGGCAGAGTCACCTCCTCCGCCCCCACAAGTTCAGAGGTATGTTTCTGAAAGTTAGGTATAGAACTGTTTGGAGTAGGCATGGTACAATGAGAGAGGGGCATTTAGGGGACAACAGCCACTGAGAAATGAATGCGGGCTAAGAATGTAACTCAGCTGCAGGAACTTGCTTCGTATACACACAGACGCGGTCATGGTCCCCGAAACTGTAAGGAAAAGTATGTGAACCCAAGCTGTCAGCAGCTCGCCAAGAAAGGTAGAGCCATAGCAAGGGGAAATCCTATGCACTTTTGAAGCAACTGGACAGATCAAGAATGGAATCAAAGTGACTTTGGTTCTGAGCCAAGTGAGCAGTGGAAAGGATGTGTCCTCAACAGAGGCCACAGTCAGGCACACTTGGCTTTCAGGCAATAGTTTAGTTGCAGACATGGAATTATAGGCCCAGTAGACCTGATCAGGATGGATTTTAGCAAGTGGGTGGATGGGCGAAGGCAGGGAAGGAAGGCTTGGAGACAGGTAGAGAGAGAGTTAGGGGAAGGCAGAAAGGGAGGTGGAAGGCCCAGGGAAGGGGAACAGGAGGGCAGCATGTGACAGCATCTGATGCAGGGACACTGAGGGTGGGAAGCTTGAGAAAAGCCCTGAGGTCAGACTGGGACCTGGACAGGCAGTTCTTCTGCAGAAGCAAAGGATAAACCCATATTTCAAAGAAGCTCAATGGAAGTGGGAAAAAAAGGCTGAAATCTATCACAAGAATGGTTATCATCACAGATCGAAAGCATGATGGGCAATCATTAGTTGAGCAAAATCCTGCTCCTGGTCTTTCCAGAGGGCTGGCTGGTGGCCAGGGCAGCAGTCATTCACAGGGGTTCCAGGCACTTACTCGGATATGCAGGTCTTGGAAGAAGATGAGCAGTGTCTGCCGGATCAACTGGAACTCCCCGGCAGAGAGACTCCCATATATCTGCGAGGCAGAGCAGAGGGAAGCCCTGCACTTTCCACCACGGGCTGAGTTGTGGGGACAGGCGGGGTTAGGGTGCTAGGGGTGCGACTCAGATAAGCAGGGACCTTGGTAGCAGGAGTGTCAGTACCCATCCTCCCAAGTAGGACAGACCCTGCCATGCCACAGGCCTGGAGTGTCTGTCTGCTCCCCACAGTTCAACAGACAAGCACTTCCAATGTCCTTTCAGGTATGGGGAAGTTCTCTGCCACTGTTTTCCCTCTACAAAGGCCTTAGTAGAGAGCCTAAGATGACAATTGCCCATTGTAGTTACAAAATAGGCTGCTGTGGGATTTTGGAAATGTTCTAGCTTTGATCCTGTCATTGTAATCAGAGAACCTGCTGGTCCTTACAGTTGGCTGAGAACAAGGGTTGTGGCAGGGAGATGATGGGCTGGTGACAAGCTTACTTCTATTAGCTGCCGGAAGGTCTCGTCCACTAGATGCAGGATGGTTGGGGAGTCCCGAATGAATCCCTTGATGGAGTCTAAATGGTTGAAAGTGACCAGCAGCACATCTTTGGGGCGAGGACACAGCAGCACTTGATATTTGAAAGCCATGGTCATCAGGTCATAGAGCTGTCAACCGACACATGGACAGATGGGATCATCAAAGTAGACCAGAACCCGAGCAAAGCAACTGTGCGGACCACATGAGTTGCCACCCAAGCCAGAGCACTTCTGAGAATGTGAGGGGGTGATGTTAGTAACTAAGCTCCACAGTAGTGGCCTGAATATCTCTGGGCAAACCATGGTTTCTGGTCATCCTCTGTGTCTTCCTGATGGAACCATATGAAACCGTATTTGAGTATCTCTTTGTTCCATTTCTTTTCTATTTTTACTTTATATGTATGCATGTTTGCCTGGATGTGTGTCTGTGTACCATATAAATACCCGGTGCATACAAAGGCCAGAAGAAGGTGCTGGATACTCTGGAATTGAAGTCACAAACAATTATGAACCACCTTGTAGGTGCTAGGAATTGACCTGGGTCCCCTGGAAGAGTAGCCAGGCTCTTAACCACTGAGCCATCTCTCCAGCCCCTGTAGCTTGCTTTCTATATGACTATTCCTCTCCCCCTCCTTATTTTGCAGTGCTCTGAATGGAGCCCAGGTTTTGTGTACACAGGGTGTGATGGTTTGCATAGGAATGGCTCCCATAGGCTCACATATTTGTATGCTTGAAGAGATGATACTTCAAGTGACAGGTTTTAGGAGGTGTGGCCTTGTTGGAGGAAGTGTGTCACTGGGTGGGCTTTGAGGTTTCAGAAGCTCAAGCCAAGCCCATTGTCACCCTCTTTGCCCACTGATCTGGATGTGGAACTCTCATCTATCTCTCTAGCACTATGTCTGCCTGTCTGCAGTCAGGCTTCCTGCCATAACTATAAAGGACTAAACCTTTGAAACTGTAAGCCACCCCAACTAAATGTTTTCCTTTAAGAGCTGTCATGGCCATGGTGTCTCTTTGCAGCAATAGACATCAATTAAGACACAAGGCAAACATTTTACTAACTAAACTAAATCCCCAGGCCTACCCCCATTTTTATTTTTAAATTTTTAAAATTAAAAACCATTTTGAATTATGTTCATGTACATGCATATAGGGGTGTACAAATGATCGCTGGTGCCCTAAGAGGCCAGAGGCATTGTTTCCCCGTGGAGATGGAGTTAAAGGTGGCTCTGAGCCACCTGACATGGGACCTGAACTTGGGTCCTCTGCAAGGGAAGTATAAGCTCTTAAGTTACATACTTAAGTATATGCTTTGAGCCATCTCTCTAGCCCCCACTCTTATTTTTAAATTAATGAATTGATTAATACAGTTTTGAGACCGGGGACCAAACTCACTATCAAGCAGAGGCTAACACTGAACTTCTGATACCCCTGCCTCCACCTCCCAAGAGCTGGGACTATCACAACACCTGGCTTCCTAGTTCCATTTTTAAATGGGCATGTAGTTTTTGTTTGTTTGTTTGGGTTAAATAGAAATATAAAGTACACATTCATCATTTTCTCCACAGCACAGCCTGACAACTGGGATTCATGAGTCTAATGGCCAGCCAGGCTCTTTCCCATAAACTTCTTAGAGGAAACACTATGGACGATCCTCACAAGGATTATTTGTTGACAACGGCAGCACCTCCAGCTTCTTTGACACCGTGGGCCATGGGCTTCTGGAAGACAATGAGAAACAGAAGCCTTCTTTGCTTGTGGCCTCTGTAACCAATGTTGGGCCCCGTTAGGCTGGGATGTAGCTCTGTGGTATAGGATGTAGCATGTGCCTAGGATGGATGAGACTTGGGGTTCAGTCCCCAGCATCACAGAATTTTGTCTCCAAGGACAAAATGATCTGGACCATCAATCTCTTTTACATCTTGTCAGTACCTTGGTTTCTACCAATGATGCTTATGACTACTGTGCCAACTGATGCCACTGATGATGAATTTCTCCCCCACCTTTCTGATGATCATGGGCTTCATGAGAGGTCTGAAGGAGGCCATGGCCAAGCAGAAGCCGGGCAAGCTGAGGAAGGGGCTTCATCCTCGTTAGTGAGAAGGACTGTGGGATGAAGTAACTTTCCCAAAGGCAGACAACAGGCAGTAAAGGCTCAGTTAAAGCTGGTGTGTCTCACTGAGGCCTCTAGTATCAACACCAGACAGAGGTTGATTCTGTGTACCCACCCACCGCCTAGTGTTAGTCTTTAGAACTTCAAAAAAAAGTTCATACAATGGAGCAAGTTGAAAAATAATTATCGTTATTCAAGTCTAACTTCACAATTGTCTATAGTCCTAGAACTTGGCATGTGGGGATGTGGCTCAGTTGGTAGAGGTTACCTAGCATGCAGGAAGTCCTGAGTTTGATTCCTAGACGTAGTTGTGTAGGCTACCATATGGGAAGTGGAGGCAAGAGGATCAGATGTTGAAGATCTTCCTTAGCTTCATAGTGAGTTGGAGGCTAGCCTAGGAAACATAAAACCCTATCTCATTAATTTAGTTTCTCCCCAGTGTCCTAGATTTTTAGGTCTAAGTAGGTGCCAGCTGAGGCAAGTGGTTAACCCTCAGTGTCATACTTAGGAGTGCCATCCACCTCTTTGGAGACGGGGTCTTTCACTGACCTGGAGCTCACTAATTTGGGTAGGCTGGCTGGCCAGCAAGCTGCAGAGAGTTTCCTGTCTTTGTCTCCCAGTGCTGGGGTTATAAGTGCACACTACCATGCCCAGCATTTGGTTTTGGGGTGCGGACTCATGTCACCATGTCTGTGAGGCAAGCCCTTGTGACTGAGTGCAACCCTAATGTCACATTGTGCTGCAGGCTCTTCTCCAGAATGCAACAGGACATTTGGCTGCCAGAATTTCTGGGTTCCTCTGACTTTGGTCACGTTGACTATTTTTAAAAATTTTTATTATTATTATTATTATTTATTTTTCAAGACAGAATTTCTCTATGTAGCTCTGGATGTCCTGGAACATTTTAATAATTTTTTTATTTTCAAGACAGAGTTTCTCAGACTGGAGAGATAGCTTGGCAGTTAAGAGTACTAATTGCTCTTCAAGAAGACCTGGGTTCAATTCCCATGGCAGCTCACAACTGCCTGTAAATCCAGTTCCAGGGGATCTGACACACCTTCACACCAATGCACATAAATAAAGTTAAATAATCATAAAAACAACAACAACAACAACAACAACAAAAGACAGGGTTTCTCTGTGTAGCCTGTCCTGGAACCTGTTTTGTAGACCAGGCTGGTCTTAAAGGCATACGCCACCACCACCTGGCTAAAACCAATTAATAAGGTTATTATTTAATATTTATTGTTTATATTAATGGACTTCATTGTGACATCTGCATACAATCACATCATGCTTTGATCATACTGGAATTCCTAAACGCCATCTCTTCCCTCTTCCCACAGGGGAAGCTTGGGGATTGAGCCCTGAACTGAGGCGGTGCATGCTCTCCTACCCATGAATAGGGACTGAGCAGCAGGGCTCTTTGGGCAGGTGAAACACAGCAGAGGGGTTGAGTGCAGACGACTTCTGAGGTTCACTCCACCTGACAACCGACTACAGCTTGTATTTATACGTACTTGTTTCTCCCAAGACATCGCTGCATTCAGAAGCCTATCTGATTCCGCCCACCACCACAGCAAGTGGGAGGGCGGTGAAGCTGACAAAGCGGCTGTCTGCTCACCTTATCCATGCTGGCCTGGTTCAGTCGCATAATGGAGGCGTGAGCCAGGCGGTCATATACCGTCCTCAGGGCCTTCTTAGAGTACAGCTCCTGGGGTTTGAACAGTTCCTCCATAAACTTTCTGTTGAACATGGTTGAGATGATATCGTTCAGAACTGCAGAGACAAGAGAGGATCCCTATGAGCAAAGAAGGTGCTGCTTGTACTGTAAGAAGCCGTGGGTGCAAGCGCTGTCTAAGAGTGGGAGTTAGGCACAACGGAGCTGAGATATGGAGTGCTCGGTGGGATCAGCCCCTTGGGGAGAAGCCCAGGGGCCCAGTAGAAAGCAAGGCTCATGAGTGCTCTATGACAACCTCCCAGGGCAAATGTCCACGATGACAATATTAGAAGACTGGGCTCGGGTGTTACACACCACTTTCCCCACTACTATATGTCTTGATAAGGAAAGTCTTTCCCTTCCTTTTTAAAAAATTAACTAATTAATTTTTAAAAATTTAATGTTAATTAGTGGTTTGCCTGAACGCCTATCTGTGTGAAGGTGTCAAATCTTCTGGTACTGGAGTTACAAGCAGTCTGAGCTGCCATGTGGGTGCTGGGAATCAAACCCGGATCCTCTAGAAGAGCAGTCAGTGCTCTTAACTGCTGAGCCATCTCTCCACCCTCCAGAAAATCTTTTTTTTTAATATTTATTTATTTATTATGTATACAATATTTTGTCTGTGTGTCAAGAAGGCATCAGATATCAGTTCAGATGGTTGTGAGCCACCATGTGGTTGCTGGGAATTGAACTCAGGACCTTTGGAAGAGCAGGCAATGCTCTTAACCACTGAGCCATCTCTCCAGCCCCCCAGAAAATCTTTCTTTAAAAAAAAAAGTACTGAAAAGAAAAGAAAAAAAGTACTGCTTTGCTAGGTGGTGGTGGTGCCTTTAATCCTAGGACTCTGGAGGCAGAGGCTGGTAGATCTTCGAGTTTTGAGACCAGCCTGGTCTACAGAGTTCTAGGGAAGCTAGGACTATACAGAGAAACCCTGTCTCAAAAACCAAAAACAAACAAACAAGCAAAAACCCCAAAACAAACAAGCAAGCAAGCAAACAAAAAAGAATGTGGGGCTGGAGAGGCAGCTCAGCCATCAGAGTTGTTGCTCTTGCCGAGGACTTGTGCGCAGTTCCCAGCACCCACACGGTGGCCCACAGCCATCATGGACTCCAGTTCCATGGGATCCAATGCCCTTTTCGGATCTCTGAGGGCACCAGGTATGCGCGTGACATAAGTACATGGATATACGCAGGCAGAGCACTCATACACATAAAGTAAATAAATCTAAAATTTTTCTACTAAAAAGAAATAGTTATAAGCATAAGAGAGAGAGTACATACATCCTTATTTATCTTTATGTATATGGATGTTTTGCCTGCCTGTATGACTATGCACCATGTATGTGCGGTGACCCCAGAGAAGGGAGGAAGGTGTTGGGTCTTCTAGGACTGGAGTTACAGATGGTTGTGAGCCACCATGTGGGTGCTGGGAATTGAATCCAGGTCCTTTGGAAGAGCAGTCAGTGCTCTTAACCATGAGCCATCTCTCCAGTTACCCAGCATACACATTCTTAAAAAAAAAAATTCAGGTGGGGTGGGGCATGGTGTGAATGCCTTTAATCCCAGCACTTGAGAGGCAGAGGTCGGTCTCTGTGAGATGGTGACCAGCCTGGTCTGCAAAGCAACTTTCAGGCCAGTCAGGGTTACATGGTGAGATCCTGTCTCAAATAAACAAAAAGAGGGGGCTGGAGAAATGGCTCAGAGTTTAAGAGCACTGGTTGCTCTTCCAGACCCGAGTTCAATTCCTAGCAACTACACACTGGCTCATAACCATCTATACTGAGATCTGGTCCCCCCGCTTCTGGTATGCAGGCATACATACCAGAAGAACACTATATGCATAACTAATGCATAAATCTTAAATAAATAAATTAATTAAAATTTCATTATTAGTTCATGTGTGAGGTGTGGTGGTGGGGCCTGTGGGGGTCACGGACAGCACAGTGGCATCGCTCCTTCCCTTCCACCTTTCCAAGGGCTGTGGGGACTGAACGCAGGTTGTCAGGCCGCATGGCAAGCATTTTGTCCACTGTGCCATCTCACTGGCCCTTTTACAAAAAATACTTTACTTTATGATTAGCGCATGTGTGTGATGTGTATTGTTTTCCTTTTAAGCAGTCTAAATCGTTTCTCCACTTAAAATTAAACTTCACGAATGTCAGGCAAACAGTGGTGATCAACTTTTCAGAACAAACACTTCATGAAAATAGACACAGCAGCCCACTGGTTAGAGGTGACGGTGTTTTTAGATCGTCTACAAAATAGGCCCTTCAGATTGCTCCACATTAGTGTGCCCTAATTCCTCTTTGCTCTATGATACAGATTCCACAGCACCGGAATAGATCCCGTCCTGTTCAGGGGCTGTTGAGAATGAAAGCCTCCTGCACACCAGCATGGCCTCAGCCCTGTTCATATTTTGCACTGCTCAGGGAAGCACTGCTAGTGCAGGGAGCAGAAGCTCTGGTGTGAGGCCAGCAGCAGGTACAGGTAAGCATAGATTGTTCTTGCTGAGCAGGTGCCTTTACCTGCTGGGCCAACTGCTGGCCTCGATCAGTCTTGAAATGTAAAAGCTGGGCAGTGGTGATGAAGACACATACCTTTAATCCCAGCACTCACACTCAAAGGCAGAGGCAGAGGGATCTCTGAGTTTGAGGCCGGCTTGGTCTACAGAATGAGTTTAAGGATGGCCAGGGCGACACAGAGAAACCTTGTCTCGGGGGAAAAAAAAGTGCAGGTGCCCTCAGAGGCAGGAGGACTCAGAGGCCCGAGAGGTCTGATTTCCTGGGGCTGGAATTAAAGGAACTTGTAAGCCGCCTGACACAGGTGCTGGGAACTGAATTTGGATCCTCTGTGACAGCAGGGCACATCCTAATCACTGAGCCATTCTCTCTAGACCTCCAGAGCTTTCTGTTTTTGTTTTGTTTTGTTTTTCGAGACAGGGTTTCTCTGTAGCTTTGGAGCCTGTCCTGGAACTAGCTCTTGTAGACCAGGCTGGCCTCGAACTCACAGAGATCCACCTGCCTCTGCCTCCTGAGTGCTGGGATTAAAGGCGTGCGCCACCACCGCCCAGCTAGTATTCTTAAACCAGTTACTTTAGTGTAAAGATGAGCATATATTCACACAACTGGGTTACTTAGCTCTTTTCAAAAAGTTTTTATTTTTTTAAAGATTTTTTTTATTGTTTTTAATTATGTGAATCTGTGCATGTTCGTGGGTAAGCATGTGCATGTGATACAGACATGTTCAAGAGCGTGCAGGTACCCAGCGGAGGCCAGAGGAGTTGGTCCTGCTGGAGATGAGCTAGAGGCAGCTGTGAGCCACCTGACGGCGTTGCTGCTCTCTCCTCTGGTCTTGGGAAGGGCAGTACATACACGGGCTCCTAACTGCTGAGCTATCTTTTCAGCCTGTATCTTTTATTTTTAATTCTGTGTTGTATCTGTGTATGGGTGAATGCAGGTTCCTTGAATGTTGAGGTCAAAAGAGGGCTTCAGACCCCTGTAGCTGGAGTTACAGAAGGCAGTGGGTCACATGGTCCTCTGTGAGTACAATACATAGTCTGAACTTCTGAGCCATCTCTTCAGCCACTAAACGAATTCTTTTTTTTTTTTTCCTGAAAACTATGAACAGAACCTAAGTGAATTCTTAATATGAGTGCTGGTTTCTGAAAGACATAAACTCCACTTTCTTTTTCTTTCTTTCTCTTTTCTTCTTCTATTTTTTTTTTTTTTGAGACAGTTTTTCTGTATAGCCTTTACTGTCCTGGAACTCAGTCTGTAGATCAGGCTGGCCTCAAACTCATAGGGAACTTCCTGCCTCTGCTTCCTGGGTGCTACGATTAAAGGCGTGTGCCAACATCCGGCTAACCTCCACTTTCTTTTGCTGAATGCAGTGCTGGTGGTTGGTTCCAGCTATTTACTTTTAAAGAACTAAGGCAACAAAGAGTAGGGATTTTTTTTTTTTTTGGTTTCTCTGTGTAGACCTAGCTGTCCTAGAACTCATTCTGAAGACCAAGCTGGCCTTGAACTCATTATTATTATTATTATTGAAAGAGAAGCTGAGGGTTGGATGTGCTTAAAAGCATTTTTTTTTTCAAGACAGGGTCTCTCTGTAGCTTTGGGGCCTGTCCTGGAACTAGCTCTTGTAGACCAGGCTGGCCTCGAACTCACAGAGATCCGCTCACCTCTGCCTCCTGAGTGCTGGGATTAAAGGCGTGTGCCACCCCGCCCGGCTCAGTTTTGTTTTTTTTGTTTGTTTTTTTTTAAAAGCAGTTTTACATAATCCAGGCTGTCCGGAATTAAGGCCTCTAGCTAAGGATGGCCTTAACTTCTGATCCTCCTTGCCTCCACCTTCAGAGTGTTGGGATTAGAGACAAACACAACTACACCCAGCTTGTACCTGACTCTTAAAATGGAATTGCTTCAGAGAGAGGCGGGAGGGAATGTATTTTCCTCCTACACTGACAGTGGGGTTTGAATGAGAATGTCTCCCCTAGGCTCAGAGGGTTGAACACTTGGTCCCAAACTGGAACTATTTGGGAAGACTCCAGAGGTGTGGTCTTGCTGGAGGAGCAGTGTCACTTAGTGCAGGCCTTGAGGTTTCAAAGGCCCACACTGTTCCCAGTGCTTGCTTGTTCGCGCTCTCCCTCTCTCTCTCTCTCCCTCTCTCTCTCTCTCTCTCTTTCTGCTGTGTGAGCTCTCAGCTGTTCCTTTACCTGCCACCAAGGCCTCCAACCCTCTGAAGCCATAATCCCACTTAAACACTCTCTTTTATAAGTTGCCTCGGTCAAGGGGTTTTACCACAGAACAGTGACAAGCACACTTCGGATCTTACCCTAGACTACGTCCTGATCCTCAGACAGGAAGAATTTGAGCCATGGCCAACACAGGCACTCTCACATCTGAGGACTCCAGCCCGGCACAGCCAGCTAACACTCCCTCCTCAGGGATGCCCAGAGACACAGGAATCCTTCAGACAGAAACAATCAAGGACCTGCAGTGAATTGGGTTTTCTAACTTTTTTTCTCACCACAGCCTTTATAAAAAGCGCAGAATCTGCAAGGGACAGATGCAAACGAAGAGCCACAGGTCCTCAGAGAAGAGAAAGGAGCGGGCTTCCAGGAGGAAGGGGTCAGGTGAAGCCATTCCTTGTCAGCGGTCACTGGGTGGACGCTGACAGAGAGAGTCAGTTCTCTAGGGATCCAGGCAAGTAGCTTAGCCTCAAATAAATTGGTTCTAAAAGCGACAAAACCCCAAGGCAATTGCTACTGACTTTGGCAAAGCAAAAAGAAAAAGGAAGCTCTTCCCTAGAGATGAGAAACAGCGATGTAACACCACAGCTCCAGCGTCAGACCTAAGCAATGGTCGTCTGCTGAGAACCGAGGACAACAGTGTCTGTTCCCGTGGACACAGCAGGCACACATGAGCCCCCAAAGAGGAAAGGGAAGTTTCACGGCAGGGGTCCTGGCAGCCAGGGATCCCTGGTCACCATTTATTCTTTGTGAGATTGTAGAGACAACATATTTTCCTCTCCCAGTTTGCTTTGTGGAGCACTTGGCCCAGGCAGGCGTGCAGTACACCAGATACCAAGCACCACACACCAGACACCACGGGGACACAAAGGTGCCATGCCCTAGAGGTGCACACTGCGCTAGTTTCACACGTGAGCAGTAGATTCAGTCAGACACACGTGGGCTGCCTTTGTTAGCAGGCACTTAGACATCCTGCCTGAAAAAAAAAAAAAAAGACAAAAGCAAAACAAACCCAAGAAATTCACCTTGGCAATGGAAAATAGATTTATACTTTGCCTACACCAGGGAGAGAAGTCTGCTTTCCCTTGTCTCCTTTGCAACATTATGATTTTATAGAAAAGATGAAAGAAAGACCATCGCGCATATGCTAATTTAGCTGTGGGCTAAATTGCCAGACCTGACCTGTGTGAAATCTTTTCCTATAAGACAAGTTCCTCCTCTGGTTGATGCCAGGGCTCTGCAGTCTTTCCCCTCTGCACAGCACTGGGCTTTGGGAAATCTGAGTTCTTTGGAGTCCGCTCTTGTGGCACGTGTGTCTCCAGCTAGAATAGAACATCCCTTCCCCTGCCAGGGCCGGGCTTCCACGGCGGTGTCTGTTTGTGGCACTCAAATGAGCTTTGTCTCCTTTTCATGAATCTGAACGGAGCGGGAGCCCGATGTGATCATGGAGATGATGAAGCCGGGAGGGGAGGGGTTCTCACAGGGACAACAGGAGGGCTGATAACTGGGCTCTTGACACGCGGCTTCTAGTTTGGATGTAGCCAGATGATGAAGTCAGTGTCTGCTGATGATTTTTGAACACTTAGGCTAAAATAAGCTCCAGCGATCTAATTACACACATGAAAAGCCCTCAAGATCCACACTTCACACCTGAAATCCTGCCAGGCATCAAAGGACGGGCCAAAAATTGCTCAAGGGAAGTGTCAAAAGATGGTTGTGAAATATAATAAAAGCGGCCCGGCACTTCAGTTGGGCTTCTCTGGACCCAGTCTGATGAAATAATTATCTTGATGAAAGTAATTCAGTTTCTACCAATTACCCCGGCTCCAAAAATCACTTGGTTATGGAAATCCGTACCGTGGAGCCAAGGCTACAAGAGAGGAGCCAGGGAATGCTTCACATGACTACAATGGTCTGAGTCTTTACACTGTTGAGACATTGGGCTTGGAACTTTATATACAATGCCTCATTTAAAGCTCACGGCAACTCTAAATTACCCCCATTCCCACATTCCACTGATGAGGAAAATGTAATCTGAGTGTGTTTAAAACCCAAGCTGACACCACTGTTGATGGAGCTGAAATCAGAAAGGGTTCTGTCTCATTGTATTCTTATTTTTTTTTAAGCATTATTTATCTGAGACAGTGTATGTAGCCCTGGTTAACCAGGAACTCACTATGTAGACAAGGTTGGTCCTTAACCCTCAGACACTTGTCTGCCTCTGCCTCTTGAGTACTAGGATTCAAAGTACCCACCAGGAGCTGGAGGGATGGTTCAGAGGTTAAGAGCACTGGTTGTTCTTACAGAGGGCGAAAGTTCAGTTCCTAGTACCTACATGGTGGCTCACAGCCATCCATAACTCCAGTTTCAGAGAATCAAATTCCCTCTTCTGACCTTTGTGGGCATCAGGCAAGAATATGGCATACATACATTCATGCAGGAAAAAAATCAAACATACAAAAATAAATAAATATATTAAATAACCCAAGAAAACACAAAAGAGTACCACCACACCCAGTTCAATTATATAGCTGTGTGTGTTTGTGTGTGTGTGTGTGTGTGTGTGTGTGTGTGTGTGTACACAAAGGTTAGAGGACAACTTGCTAGGGTCAGTTCTTTCCTTCTACCTTGGGGGTCTCAAAGATCAAACTCAGTTTGTCAGGTTTAGGAGCAAGTGCCTTTACCCACTAAACCATCAAAGGCTTTTTTTTTCTCTTTGAAAAGGGTATCTTACTATGTAGCCCTGATTGCCCTGGAATTATATAGACCAGGCTGGCCTCAAACCCACAGAGATCTGCCTGCCTCTGCCTCCTAAGTGGTAGGATTACAGGTGTGTGCCACTATACCCTGACACACACATGCACACACACACGGGTTCAGAATGTTTAATCCAATAATATATCATATTTAGATCCATTTATCAAAATTTGCTAGATAGGTATTTTACCCTTTTTGTCTTTGCTCATTGTTCCAGATTCTTCTTCATTCCCTATCCTGGCATTATTTGTTTTAAATTTATTTTCTTTTATAATTGTTTTTGCTTTCTACCATATCACATTCTAAGTAAATTCCTATCACAATTAGGAAAACATTTACAAAATCAAAAAATTATCTCCCATAATAATGTAAAAATCTATGTAATTATGACAAAATTATTGAAAATTTCCTTTCAATAATAAAAGCAAACAAACCTACACCTTTAAATTCAAAATCAGAGATATCAAAATGCCTTCAGTGGGTCTTTAATATATTTAATAAATATACACATATTTTATGCACAAAAATTCAAAAGTTTTTATTAGTGTCTATTAATTATGCATAATAATGGGATTTGTTGTGACATTTTCACATTTGTATATAATGTACTTTGATCATATTTACCCTCATTATGCTTTTAAGCACTACAAATATACACAGCTGGCATATCAGGTTTGCTGAGAGAATTTAATCTACTGAGGATGGCAGACAATAGGCATAATCTGTCCCCATGTGTCAAATGAAGGCAGGCACCTACGGTATACAAAGATCGAGAAAAGTTGAAGGCCCGCTCCGAGCAAGCCTCAACCTTTCCAGGTTTGCAGCTAGCTGCAGGTGAGCAGGAAACAAGACTGAACATAAGGCAACAGTGCATGCATGATCCCATGCCTGCTGCCCCCTCTTGGCAGCCATGCAGCCACATGCTTCATCTTCCTCAGCTGCTCAGCAGGTATCTGTGTGTGCTACGGGGAACATCTCAGGATGTTGTCGCTCACCCTGACGCAAACTCTCTGCCTACATGATAGTATAGGAAGGACGGTTTAGGACTACCACAGATGACAACTTACCCGGGGTAGAGCCTCAGCTGTCCCTGAAAGCTTGCAACAACAACAACAACAACAAAAGGGATGGTAGTGGGGGGGAAGTCCCTCAGAAGCAGCGTGGCCCCTTCGCTAGAGTTGGCTGAGTTTTCATCTTACACAATGTGTTTATTCCTTTGGAGAAGAACATTCCAAAGTAAGCCCGATATCTTAGCTGAGGAAACTCACGCCTAGTTCTAGCCTACATACACTTAAGAGTGGGCCTGCTTTTAAAGTCCACTAACAACCGACTGGGTGACCCTGTGGATGCAGACTGAATGCATGCAGCCCAGAAATAGCATACCTCGTTTTCTGTCCACCTCTGTCCATTCATCTATATGAAGCATACAAAGAGAAAACACCAGTTCAGGAAGCAAGAACATTAGAACATTAGTTGCATGGAGGCTTTACGAATACCATACCTAGCTATCTGGTCTGTTGAATTGTTGAATATATATAGATTTTAATTTCATGTCTTTTGTTTTGTTTTGTTTTGTTTTTGTTTTTTGAGACAGTCTGTATAGCCCTGGCTGTCCTGGAACTAGCTCCACTAACCAGGCTGGCCTCCAACTCAGAGATCTTCCTGCCTCTGCCTCTCAACTGCTGGGATTAAAGGTGTATGCAACCACTGCCTGGTGTGAGTGTGTGTATGTTTGCCTGCTTGCCTGCATGTATGTATACCACATGTGTGCCTAGTGCTCTTGGAGACCGGAATGGGGAGTCATCCTCTAGAACTGGAGTTAAAGACAGTTGTAATCTGTCATGTGGGTACTGGGAATTGATCCTGGACCCTCCAAAAGAGCAGCCAGTGCTCTTAACCACTGAGTCATCTCTCCAGTCTGTTGAATTTAATGCTTATGTGCATGCCCCACCTTCAATTGGAAACTTTTTTTTTTTTTAAAAAATTAGGAGCTGTAAAAACTAGATAAATGACTAGTAAAAAAAAAAAGTACCAGTTCAGGATGATAGCTATCTTGGGGTTCCTCTCAGAAGGCTCCAGAAGTTATGTTCTCCAACACTGTAAGAACATACACTATGCTGGGTGTGGTGGTGCACATCTTTAATCTCAGCACTTGGGAGGCAGAGGTATATAGATTTCTGAGTTCCAGGTCTACAGAGTGAGACACTGTCCCCCACCAAAAAAAGCATACATATTTCAAAGCAGACTTTTAACACTAACTCCCCAATGAAGAATAATTCCAAGAACAAACAGAAGAAGGAGCTTCTTTTTCAACAGTCTGACTTTTTTTTTCTCCCTAGAGATGGGATTGAACCTGGGGCCTTGGGCATTTTAGCAGACAAATGTTGTACCACTGATCTCTACCCTAAACCCTGAAAATCAACTTTTTAACTTTCCCATTCTGTTGGTAGGAACATTTCTGTCTATAGCCTCCCTTTCTCACCCGCATGTGGAAAGCATTTCACAACTAGTGACATTTCGAGAAACACTTGCCTCTATATTGCTCGGGAAATGATCTCTGAAGTACACTGACGTATGCACGCCTTCACCGCTCACTGGCAGGGCCTCAACATACAATACAAACAGCTCTTTTAAGACTAGTGGGTACCACTGTGAGGTCAGAGTCCCCTCAAAGTCCCCCCCTTTTCCCTCTCAAGAGTCACAGCCTTAGCTGGGCCTGGTGGCACAGAGACCGTAGCTCTAGCTACTCAGGAGGCTGAGGCAGCGTTAAAAATTTAAGATCTGCTGGGTCTACAGAATGAATCCAAGGCAATTTAATGAGATACTATCTCTAAATCAGGTGGGCTGGAGAGGTAGCTCAGTGGTAAAGCATTTGCCTGGTGTGCATGAGGCTCTAGGTTCAGCTCCCAATACCGAGGGGAGGGTGATAAAGTCACAGGCTTTTGGGGAGAGTGAGTTGGGGAAGTAGGCCCTGCTCTGGCCTTCCTAAAGCAATTGTTTCTTGGGCAGTATATTCACATCTACTGTTTCTCAGTGGTATTAGCATCATGGGATTTCAATTATTTAGAGATGGGGAGTTTTCATCTTCTTGAAGATGTGTCTGGGAACACTCTTGCCTACTGTGGTTAAAACAGAACTGGAAAACACAAGGAAGCAGTGTGCCTCCAGCTGGCAATGGCACCCAGAACCAGCAGAGGGCTCCAGAGAGCTGTCGGTTCCTCTCCATTTTCTTCTTTAAAGAGGCAGGGTAGGGACCACAAGCCCTGTCTTCTGCTCTCCAGATGACTCATTTTGAGACAATTCAACTTCAGCTATATTTTGCATGGGATGTAGACCCATGGGTTCCAGGGCTGGCTGTTAAATTTCACCCAAAAAAATCAGAACAGAACCCCACTGCTATTTAGTCCTTCAGTACTACATGTCTTAGGAAAACAAAGTAAAACAAAACAAAAAACCAACAAACGAACAAAACAAAAACAAAAAGCCACTCCACAGTCACATGGTCACGTGTCCCAGTTTCCTCTCCCGTAATAAGGAAGGTAAACAGAATTTAACAGGGTTTTAGTTGCAGGGCTTTTATGGGGAAAGAAGCGAGGCAAAAGGTAGCTTTTATTGCCCACTCTATTGCTTAAAATGTGAGACAACATTAAGTATGCAACTCTCACAGGCAGCCCCATTAAGAGCACACTTCCTTTCTGTGCAGCGCTAAACTCTGGCTGCATTATGGGAGAAACTGCAATGTCTGCACCGGCCTTGTGGGAACAGGGACAGCCTCCAGGAGACCAATTAGTTGTGTAAGATAATGAAAACAGCTCCAAGAAATACGATTTCCTTCAAAGCATCCACGAGGACTAATTTACCATGTCTGTGCTTTTGCAGGCTTGGGTATAGGCACCTGTCACCATGGCACTGGCTCCAGCTCCTGCAGCAACACCAGCTTCGACAGAAGAACAGACACGCTCTCAGCTTCTAGTCTTATGCTGTTTGGCTTTCTTTCTCTCCTACAGGCCTCACTGGCCAACTACTTCATCATTTCTTTTAGACACTTGATGGTATATGCACGCGCGCGTATATGTGTGTGTGTGTGCATTTCAAAGCCTTCCCTCGCCTCCTGACCTGACAAACCCCACGAAATTCCCACCCAATCCCTTCAGGTAAGGCAGCACAAGCTGGTTAGGAGTAGGAGCTCTGGAGTCTCATGGGCAGGAGTTGTCAAATGACTGACTCCTCCCACCAGCTATGCAACCCTAGGCAAAGCAGCTTTGGCTTTTCTTGTAAATTCGGGTGGTAGTGCGTTATCTATATGGTAGAGGAGCTGTGGGTATCAAGGTGTTTCAATGAAGTATTGATACAATTGAAAAACTGTTTCAATAGTCCGAGTGGTGGCTTATACCTATAAGGGGCTGAAGCAAGAGGACTGTTGAGAATTCCAGGTCAATCCATGCTACTCAGTGAGTCTGGGAACAGCTACAGCAGGACCCTTGTTTCAACAATGCAAAAGGAATATTTTATTACTGTCACTATAGAGATTTGTCTTGAGTTTTAGACTCGGTTATAGAGTGGACTCATCAATAGCCCCACTTTCAGGAACTGTACAGAAAGTCTCCCAATCCAGTTCTCCCTAGAATCTCACATGTGACATTTGCCAAAAACTGTAGGATGAGTGACTATATGACAATGAATTACTACAGATGTCTGAAGGTCCATAAAACTGGATCTAGGCAAACCAGGAAGACTATCACTCTTAAATATTTTTTTTTCTGGGTAAAATGGCGCACAACCGTGATACCAACACAGGAGTGGTAAGAACAGGGGAATCAGAAGTTCAAGGCCAGCTTTGCTACATGAAACCCTATCTCAGAAAACCAAAATAGTGGGCTTTCCTTATATATAGGAAAGACTTTTGAGACAGGGTCTTACTATGTGGTGCTGGTTAGCCTGGAATTTACAAGATAGACCAGGCTGGCCTTGAACTGAACTTGTAGCAATCCTCTTGCCTCAGCCACCCAAGTGCCTGGATTAAGGGCTACAGTTCTTGGTTTTACATTTTTTATCTTATTTTGTTTATTTATTTATTGGGTTTCTTTTTGAAGACCTCGTTTCTCTGTATAGCTCTGGCTGTCCTGGAACTCACTCTGTAGGTCAGGCCAGCCTCAAATTCACAGAGATCTTCCTAACTCTGCTTCCCAAGTGCCAGGATTAAAGACATGTGCCATTCATTCCAGCTAAATTTTTATTTTTAATTATGTGTATATGTCTGGGTATATGCATGTAAGTACAGGGGCTCTGGGCAGACAGAGGAGGGTGCTGGATTCCCTGGAGTTGGAGTTACAGGTGCCTGTAAACTTCCCAGTGGATGCTGGGGATGGAACATTGGTCCTCTGAAAGTAGAGCAAGTGTTCTTCCCTGCAGATGCCCTTCTTTCAGCCTGGGACTACAGTTCTTAAATCCTGACTCCTCCTATTTACAGAACCTTCCCAGACCGCCTCCCAAAAGACAATATCAACTACTGATTGTGTGAACATAAAATGCATGTTCAGTCAATCCCTACAGCTTGGCTTTCAGGAGTGTATTGCTATTACCACTGTATAGAAAAACGGGCTCAGAGGCTACACCTCAAGATCATGCAACTGGCTAAAGATGGAATCTAGACCTGCATGCCTCCAAAGGGCACACTCTTAATTGTTGATTTACATTGTCTTCCAGGAGACAGACTACCTAGAGAAAGTTAGCCTATCACTCCACTAAGGTCATTAGCCTGAGTGAAATCACATCACACAGGCAGCAAGAAACATAGAAGCCTCCTGAGGAAGGAACACAGTGGCATATAAAACTGCCAAGTGGTCCAGCAAACCTTTACTGTGCTCCGATTTATTCTGACCTGGGCATTGAATGCTAGATGCTGTGGTACAGATACGAGTCAGACAAACATGTAGGGAAACACATGTGAACAGATGAGTCTAAAGAGCCAGGTGTAGAGAGAAGCACAGGCAGGGCGCTGGGAGCACACAGGAAGTCCTTTTCCTAGGGACAATGATTCTTCAGTCAATAGTACAGGCCAGGGAAAGGATGGAGGGGCAGGGACCACAAGCATGGAGTCATGAAGGACACAGTTTAAAGAATCTGGTGTGATTAGGACTCAAAGTGTGAATCAAGCAATGATGGAAAATAAGACTGGGAAGGGCCCCACTGTGTCTTGCATAGGACTTGGACTCCATTGAGACAGGAGTGAAAAGCTGCCTGTAGGCTTTTAAGGAGAGATGGTACTAGACACTTTTGCATTTTGTAAAGCCCTCTGGTAGCAATGCTCCATATGAATCAAAGGGAATAATCTAGGGAGTTCTCTTATCTGTCTGTGCATGAGCTTATACAGTCAGACTCAACAGTACCCGGGTATGTACATTTAACATCAATTGAGAGAGCGTGCATTAGCTGTCGAGAGAGAATAGTGTTTTCATTAGTGTCGTGTCGACCGTCTTTATAGAAACCTTTACACTTCTCCCTAGAAATATAATAGTTCATGCTTAATCCCAGGAAATTTGGTGAATGAAGTTTGCTGAGAAGAAAAAGTATGATGGCATGTTCTGGGGGGTCGTTTCTCTGTGAATTACACATAGCATACTTTTGCACTTACACGTTTTCCAATATTTTCACGATTGCATTCCCCTCCCACACTTGAAAAGGTAAAGAAGTATGTTTTCATTCTAATCTCTATTATTTTAGGCCCCTACATTTCTAGAAATGGCTTCTGAATTGAGCAAGACTCGTCTTTAACGTATGTGGGAGGACAGAAACACCGGGTGATCAGCATCTGTTCCGTGGGGGTTGCAGAGGATGGTGGTACTAGTCAAAGGCATATTGCCAGGTGAGCAGCCGGGAACTACTTTTGGAAGGGGGCAAAGTTCAAGAGACCGGGAAATCATCGGGATTCAAGTACTTTGAGTATGTCCAATACAGGTGTTAGGTTTCTCTGTGGGGAAATGCTCTTTTGGAGAATTGAGAATTAATTTGACTCCTGAGGTCTTCCAACTGCATGGGCATCTTGTGAGAAAGGTACCCGGCTGTCAAAGTGAAGTGCGCAGAGGCCTGGGTCTAGCTGTTGGGATAGGAGGGAAGGTGGCCAAGTGCCAATCTGGCCTTAGGTATGAAGGCGGAGGCGCGAGAGCTGGGCGCGTGGAGGGTTGGGAAGTGCTAGGCTTAGGGTCTGGATGGGGACACTTAGCGCATTGAGGGAAGCAGGCTGCGGGTGCCGCTTACCTTTGCGGGCCTTGTCTCCAGGGATGTTCTGGGCCCTCAGCCGCTGGTCCAGGACATAAAGCATCTCCCCGCCCAAGTTCAAAAAGAGCAGCGGCAGAGTCCGCACGGACATGATGCAGGAAACCCGCAAGGCAGGTGAAGAAAGAGCTCCAGGGTTTGATTTGGCAGCCTGGAGGCCCCTCCGCGTCCCATAGTTCGGTTGCTGGGGCAACGCCGCGGTCCCGAAAGACGAACCAATCAGAGAGCGGTTTGATGTGAGGTGGCCCAAGAGCCAGGGCTCATTGGGCTAGGTGACAAACACCGCTTTAGGGGATTGGTCCGAACGGATGCACGACGTTGGCCTCCGGGGAGCGCTTGTTTTGAGTTTTCCATTGAAGCCCACACGTCGACTCGAGGCTTCCGGTCATCCCCGCTTGGTGTGCCGCGGCACAGCCAGGCCCCAGCCTTCCCGCGGGTGAACAAGGAAAGTCAGCCCCAGCGTCCTGGGAGCCGCCCAGCCGGCCTAGAGTTGCGGTCCGATGTCGTCGCTGTGCTGCTCTAGGCAGATTTGTCAGCCACCTCCTAGAGATGCTCAGAGGAACCAATGAGATCACGCAAGCGCCATGAAGGCACCCTGAGCTATACAGTCCCTCATCTCGATGCGTTCTGTCATTTATATTTCCTTCTTAAACCCTCCCGGAAGCGATGCCACACCAGATTTCCTACTCAGTGACGCAATCCGGCCAGGCCCTCCCCATGGTTTAAGTAGGCTCCGCAGATGGTTCTCCACCTTCCGCTCCAGGATTAGTTTCAGTCGGTTCTTTTCAGTGGATTCCTGTAGACTTCAGTGTTTCTGCTAAGCATTTTCTCCTCCAACCACAGCAATCTTGAGTCTTGAGCTTTGGCTTCCACATACACCTCCCTGGGTCCTATTAATAGTCAGCCACCAAATACTTGTTCTCATATAATCTTTTCTCACTTTTATTCCTTAATGTTCCTTTCTGTATTTAAGTTCCTTCGTATCACTGCTCTGCTACACTGACTGCTGGACTAAATTTCAGGAGACATTATTTAAAAAGAAACAAACAGAAAACAACCCAGCATATTCCAGGCCTGGTGGTGGTATCGCACGCCTTTAATCCTAGCACTTGCAGAAGCAGGTGGATCTCTGAGTTCGAGGCCAGCCTGGTCTGTGGAGTTAGTTCTAGGATAGCCACCCCCTTCCTTTAATGGCTTCCTGCTCTGGTATCCTCCATATCACACTCCGTGGTTGTTTTCCTTTTTTCTTTCCTTTTTGAAATTGTCTCCTACAACTTGAGTTTCCTAACTCCCCAGTCCCACCTGTAATAAACATCTTTATCTTATGCTGAGCCTCTGCATTTTGTTACCAGCCTAGCTCCCAAAAGTATTTGAAGTTTTGTCAAAACAGACTTCCTTTCTCTCAGACTTTTCTCTCTAGAAGTGTCAGACAGTATATGGATTTTGGAATCAAGGCAGAGCACATGCCTTTGATCCCAGCACTCTGTAGATAGAGTTCAGCCTGGTCTAAAGCAAGTTCCAGGACAGCCAGGACTAGGGCCGTGTTTTAAAAAACAACAAACACTAGAAAGATAGGTTTGAAACCTAATCAGTTTGTGAATTTGAGTTCAAGGTCAGCCAGGCCAACAGAGTGTGTCCTAGAACTGCCAGGATTACACAGAGAAACCCAGTCTTAGGTCAGGGGACAGGGTGGGGGCATCTTCAGGATCTGAATATCAGGCAAGATGAAGTGCCCAAGTTGGCATTTAAAACAGTGCCTTTCCTGCAGGCCTGATCCACTGCTGTGGCTTTTCTCCTTACCCTCTAGTCTCCTGAAAAGTTGTCACTTGGACCTATAACACAGGACCTGTAGGCCACTCTAGGCCCATTTCATTAAAGTCTCATTGTTCCTGGAGAGGATAATCACACATTAATCTTCACTGCCCCCCATCCCCGCAAAGGGTTTCTTCTTCGTGTAGTCCAGGTGGTCCTTGAACTCACAACCACCTGCCTCTGCCGCCGCTGCCACCTGGCTTCATCTTCACTTCTGATTCTTTCTACCTACTCACCTTCTACTTCATCTCAAGGGGCTCCTGTGCCCTCAGGAGTCATTTTTCCCACCCTGACATGGCCCATTTTTCTTTCACATTGCTTTCTTGAGCAGTTTAAACTCTTAGAGAAAGGGTTTCATGGAGTTCAGACTGGCCTCAAACTATTTGTGCAGTCAGGGATGACCTTGAAATGATGGTTGCCCCCCTCCCCCAAGTGCTGGAATTACAGCCATTCAAGCACCACAGCCCTGTATCCCTAGGCTATTAAACACCTAGGGCTTCAGTTACTTTAACAGCTCCCAAACTGCTCCAGTTCAGGCCTCAGCCTGCGAGTGTTCTTTGGTAGCAACATATCTCTTTGTGGGGATTCCCTCCTCAGAATGAGGTCCAAAGTTCTTCAGTATGAACTGAAATTTTATTTTATTTATAAATAATTTAGTTAACTTTATTTTATGTGGATTGGTGTGAAGGTATCAGATCCCCAGAAAGTGGAGCTACTGATAGTTGTTAGCTGTCATGTGGGTGCTGGGAATTGAACCTGGGTCCACTGGAAGACCAAACAGCCAGTGCTCTTAACCGCTGAGCCATCTCTCCAGTCCCGAACTGAATGTTTTTACACCCCAGACCCACTCACATGCTGAAGCCCTAACTCCAATGTTTTATATTGAATTTCTGAGTCCCACTGTTCCTGAATGAGTACCTCTAGATTTCTTTCCCTTTTAACTTGCAGTTCCTTCTGCCAAGATGCCACTGTCTCTGCCCAGTAAACTCCATCTTTTAGGGCCCAGTCTAGGAGACAGTCCTACAGCTGCCCTGGTATCCGGTCAGCATTACCTCTCAGAAACATACAACATGACATGTTTCTATGACTGCATCCACTGGGTGAAGGCAGGGTCTCTGCCTCTGAGATCCCAGGGCCAAATGGAGAACAAAGTCCTCTTCCTCAGGCTGAAAGGAAGGCCATCTTCTATCATTCTTCAAGGCAGAACAGACTTTATTAGTTTTTTCTGGTCATGTCTGGTAGGGCTTGGGAAGGGTCCTCTGGTACCTCCTGGTTACGCTGTTTTTTGGCAGCTGCTGCAGCAGCTTTTAAAGCCTTTCTTTGCTTCTTTAGTTTTTGCACCTCCTGGAACACCTGGTGGTGGAAAGGGAGTAGGAAAAGACTTTGTAATTTTTTGCAGGGCAGGTCTATAGGAGCAATCTGGATGGAACCCCATTCTTTCTCTATGTGCTGGTGACCGGGCCAGTTCTAAGCCATGGTCAGAAACAGACAACTTCTCCCTTCTACTCTGCACCTCGGTCCAGGGAGACCGACCAAACAGCCAACTGTACTGATTCTTACCCGAATGCACAGAGCTTTCTTGGCCAGGATGCGGCGGTGGACCTTTTGGGCATGCAGAGGAGGTATGGTATATTCCACCCCTAGCTCCTTGCACGCCTTTTCGAAGACTTCATAGTTGGTCCGACGGAGGAGTTTGAGCATCTTATTCCTACGGTCGATGCTCATCTGCAGATGGCGTTTGTGGGCTTTGTCCTATAGAAGACTCTGTATCACTATTATTATTTGTTGGTTTGAGACAAGGTCTTACTCTGTACCCCAGGCTGTCCTCAAACACATGGTAATTCTCCTGCCTCAGCTTCCTACTTGCTGAGATGACAGGCCTAAGCCACCACACTTACTACTCTTAATTTTAGTATTCTATAAACTTTAACATTATTTACCATTAATGATGTATGGTCATTTCACTGAACCACCCCAACAATCTTATGCAAACACTACTATAGTTCTGCAGGAGGCACTGTCAATGTTCATAGTTACAGACAGGAGAATAAAGTTGTGAGCTGGTTTGACTTTCAGGACCCTGAGGTCAAGCCTTCAATATGGGTCTACCGACTGGGTGACTCTCCCCTATCCCATCTACTCAGTTTCTCCAGCACTTAGCAGACTGTCAAGATTGAGTAGGTCCTGCTCTGTGAGGGGCTCTAGAATTCTATACCTCAAATGAGCAAAAGTGATTTCTAAAGAGCATGCTCAACCAGCTACTAGAGTACTCAAGGCTAGACCAGTCTGTGTTCACAATTTCATACTCATTAGAAAACTACAAGTAGTTGGGTGTGATAGCACATACCCTATAATTTAGTTCTCAGGCAGCTGAAGCAAAGGATGGAGAATTCAAAGTCAGACTGAACATAGAGTCCAAAACTAACAGCAATTTCCTACTTCTGGCAGCTCTGTCATGCTCAGCTGAGCAACGAGTGGTTAAGAATATGGAGCCCATGCTGGGTGGTGGTGGCACGTGTCTTTAATCCTAGCACTTGGGAAGCAGAAACAGGTGGATCTCTGAGTTCAAGGCCGTGCTAGGACAGGCTCCAAAGCTACACAGAGAAACCCTGTCTCGAAAAACAAAAATAAAAAAAAAAAAAAAAAAAAAGGAATATGGAGCCCTTGGCAAGACTGCCTCATTTCAAGTCTCAGCCACCATTTCTAGCAGTGTCTCCTGAGGAATAATGTCACTCCATGGCAAGACTGCTCCTCTGGAAGATTCGAAAGAAACTGAAAGGAACTCCAAGGTTTACGAGAGATGATGCTAAGATCCCAGAGCACTGCCATACACCACACCAACTGCTAGTACTGATTCTTGTAATCCTTGCAGTCCTGTGTTTACAGATGTGAAAACATAGGCTCAGACCAATAAGCTTCCTAAAGTCACACCGACTTTAAGTAGAATTGACAGAGCTAGGATTTGAACAGGTCATTCTGACTACCCATGCATTCATCAAATGCACCCACTATGTGTCTGACGTGACCAAGGTTGGCAGTCTGTTTTCTTGACCACTAAAGACCCTTAGCAGAATCCTGTAAGGCCCCCTTTGTCCCTCTAGAGGCAGGAGGGGAGTGTCTTCCTACTAGAGTTGAGGTGTCACTGGCTTCTTAGGCTCCAGAGCCCTTTATTCCCAGGGTCCCAGGGTCCCCTCCCTCAGGCTACTGTGGATTAGCTGCATGTGAAGCCCGGGGTTTACCTTCCGATGTTTCTGCATATGTTCTTCATAACTGCGGATCCTGACAGTCAAGGCAACAACTGAAACCACAAACCACAGAGGATGAGAGCTGGGCAAAGAGGAAGGAAGCGCCCAGGGCCACCTCGTGTTTTAAAACCAAAGGAGTAACAATCACCAATGCTTTTGTATAGCTCTTTCTAAACGCCAAAGCACTCTGAATTGCAAGATCTCAAAAGACTATGGATTATAGTTCTACTAGAAAAGGAAGCTCAAGCAAAGGAAATTACTTTAATCCATAAAGGTCGTTATTCCGTCATAGCAAACAGCATTGTGTATGTGAGGGGTAGTGGGAAAAGGTGGCTGACACAGACTCACTATGACACTCGATCTGACCTTACACTTGCTATGTAGCCCAGACTAAACTTTTAATCCTTTTGCCTCTGCCTACTCTACCTAGAATTGTGGGTATAACACTGCCTGGCTGGTACACAGCACTCTCAATGGCAAAAGTTTCGTCCTATTTTGTGACACTGTGCCTCAGTGTTTTCATGTGCAAAGCTCACGCCTGAGAACAATGCGATTCATTCGATCACAAAAACAATGGAGGCATAGGCAGGTGGATCTTTGTGAGCTTGCTGACGTCACAAGTGCCAGGCCAGCCGGGGCTACACAGTAAGACAATGTCTGAAACAGTGGTTCTCAATCTGTGCATTTCAACTCCTTTGGGGAACACACATCAGATATCCCGCATACCAGATGTTTACATTATGATCATATCAGTAGCAAAATTAGTTATGAAGTAGCAACCACAACATAAAGAACTGTACTAAAGGGTTGCAACATTAGGAAGGTTGAGAACCAGTGGCTTAAAAGAAAAGAGACAAACACCCTAAAAACAACAAAACTGAAAACCCCACAATATGTTAATTAAGCTTATGGTTTTGTGTTGAATTGGACTGCACTCAGAGCTACCTGAGGCACATGCAGTCTGCGGGCCGCAGTTTGAACACACTTAAAGAACATTAAATTCAGGAATTAACTCTAGCATACATCATGGTTAATGATTCATTATTGTACTAGAGATCCCAGACAATGCATTAATCTAAGACTCTAAAGCTGTCAAGAGTCCATGCAGAAGGTGGCTGAGTGGGTAAAAGTGCTTGTGGCACAAACCTGAGCTCAAGCTCTGGAATCCATGGTGGAGAAAGGAATGGACTTGTGAAAACTGTTCTCAAATGTCCAGACAGGGTCCTTGTGTGGCACACGTGTACATGAACCCACACATCATATACTTTTACATGCAATAATAATAAATAACGAATAAACTTAATATCTACCCTTTTTCTGTGCTTTCATTATTAAGTTTTTAGAACTAAAACTTCTAACTTACAAGATGGAGAGGTGGTGTGGGGTTAAGAATAGTTGCTATTCCAGAGGACCCAAGTTTGATTCAAACGCTCACGGTGGATCACAACAGTCTGTAACTCCAGTTCCAGGGGATCTGAAGCCCCTTTCTGACTTCTGCTGACATGATGCGCACACACACAGTGCAGGCATACATGCAGGCAAAATACCCATATACATTAACAGAATAAAAAAAAAATTCCCTTTGGTTTTTTGAGACAGGATTTCTCTGAGTAGCTTTAGGAGCCTGTCCTGGAACTCACTTTGCAGATCAGGCTGGCCTCAAATTCACAGAGATCCCCCTACCTCTGCCTCCTGAGTGCTGGGATTAAAGGTGTGCACCACCACTGCCTGGCTAACAAAATAAATTTTTAAAAAAGTGAATAAAACACGAAGAGGGAGACAGTAATAAAAGCTGTAATGTAGGGTGATGGCAACAGGGACGGAAACAGACAGACACGGCATGGGGCCGCCAATTCACCCCTTGGCACAACCCAAGAGGGGCTTTCACTCACATTTAACGATTGCTATTGCTAATTCCAGCTGGAAACTAAAATAGGAATGTGGAAATGTCCCATGGCAGGGCATGGCAGCACTCCACAGATGTGAGTCACTGCTACTAGCCTCATCCTTTGTTTTCAGGGTGCGTTCTTATTCTCTAGATTCTCAGTCTTGCCACAATGTAGGGCAGTCTTCTGCCCTGTCCCCAGCTAGCTCTATCTTTAGAGTAGGAATCAGGGCCCCTAGAGAAGATAGGTGACCTGTGTGACTTCACAGAGCAATGGGCAGGACCAGAGTTCCAGTCCTCCATGTGCTCCCCTTCCCAAGCCACATCAAGAGCCCTCCTAGACCGGGTACCAGCTAGCAGACTCCTTTGTACCCCCACTTCCAAGGGCCCCTGGACCAACTTTGAGCCTCCAAGGTTCTGGGATCCTCAGGGTTTTCTGCAATCTTGTTCATCAATTGTTCTTGCTTGACTTTTGACTTCTCTTTCTGTTGAAGACAAAAATTGGAGGAAATGTGTTTGTGTATGATCCTCTAAGGACTAACCTTCCTGACTGGAAGGCTGCAGTTATGACAGCTAGGCCCAGAAAAACTGTATTCCCTGTGGCCTTGGTCAACCACATTGCTACTCATATTCTCATGAGCCCAAAGTAAAAAATAGAGATAAGAGAAATAGTTTGTTGGCTTAATAGCCTTAACATTTGCTTACTCATTCATGTACACACCTGTGATGTTTGAATAAGAATGGCCCCCAGTTCATATAGTTGAATGTTTGGTCACTGGGGACTGGTGTTACTTGAGAAGGATGAGGAAGTGTGGCATTGTTGGAGGAAGTGTGTCACTGCGGGTGGGCTTTGGACTTTGAGAAACCAAGCTTGCTCTAGTATCTCTGCTTATGGATTAGGATGTAGTTCTCAGCTACTGATCCAGTGTCTACATGCATGCCATCATACTCCCTGCCATGATGATCATGAACTAAACCTCTGAAACTGCAAACCGGGCCCATAAGAGTGGTCACAGTGTAAAGGTGACAAAGACAACATGTTTACTGCGCACCTACTGTTTCTCAGATGTCAGCGGTACCACGAAGGAGCAAAACCCCCTCTCTTCTCAGTGCTTGCTTTGGACAGAGCCTGACACCAGGATGAACGTTCTAACTGGGGAAGCCTGGGCTGTAGGGATGGAAGGGGTTCCCAGGGAGTGGACTGAGGGAGGCCAAGACTTAGGGTAGCACAGGAACTCACCTTGTTGGCCATTTCCAAAGACAAAATTCTTTTCACAACATCATCAACCCTGTGGAAAAAACAGAGCAATGAGACAAGTACTGGGAAGGGGAAGAAATGCTTTTTCCTTTAAAAAAATTTATGTATTTATATGTGTGCAGGTGCCTGTGGAGGCCACAAGATGTGTGACCCCCTGCAGCTCTGAGTTATAGGTGACTTTCAGCTGTCTGGTATGGGTGCTGGGAACAAAACTTGTGTCCTCTGGACAAGTAGCAACACTCTAACTAGACGACTAAGCCATCTAGCTAGTCCAGCTACTAGTCATTTAAACTAGACAGTAGTTTAAAAAGGGAAAATGGGAAAGAGAGACCTTATCTTAAAGGTGGTAGTCCTGGAGAGATGGCTCAGTGGTTAAAAGCACTTGGTGCTCTTGCAGAGGACCCAAGTTTAGTTTCCAGTCCCCCGCTTGGTGGCTTATAACCATATATAACTCCAGTTACAGGGGATCCAATGCCCTCTTCTGACCATTGTATGTACTAGGCACACATGTGGTACATAAACATATATGTGGGCAAAACATACACATAAATAAATTTAAAAAATCAAAACAAAAGTCAAAAAACAAACAAACAAACAAAAACCAAGAACGGGGCTGATCAGATGTATAAAGGTGCTGTTAAGCCTGACCACAGAACCATAAGACTCTAACGAACTGACTCCACAGAGCTGTCTTCCGATCTCCACACGTGAGCTGGATAGATGTCGTCTCTGCTCCCATCATTCACACACACACAGTAGTAAATAAAAATAAAAAAATAGGCACTGGAAAGATGGTTCAGTGGTTAAGAGCTAGTGTTTGGTTCCCAGCACCCACATCAACAGGCTCACAACCTCCTGTGATTCCAGCTCTATTGCCTTCTTCTGGCCCTTGTGGGCACTCACACATATGGGCACATATATACATGCTGACACATGCACATAATTAAAATAATTGTTAATAAGATTTAAAAAGCAAGAATAGCTGGGTGGTGGTGGCACACACCTTTAATCCCAGCATTTGGAAGGCAGAGGCAGGCGGATCTCTGAGTTTGAGGCCAGCCTGGTCTACAGAGCCTGTCCAGGACAGGCTCCAAAGTCACACAGAGAAATCCTGTCTTCTCAAAAAACAAAACCAAAACAAAACAGAAAAAGTAAGAACAGCCGGGCAGTAGTGGCGCACACCTTTAATGTCAGCACTTGGGAGGGAGAGGCAGGTGGATCTCTGTGAGTTTGAGGTCAGCCTAGTCTACAAGAGATAGTTCCAGGACAGGCTCCAAAGCTACAGAGAAACCCTGTCTTAAAAAATAAAAAAAAAAAAAAAAAATAAAAAAAAAAAAAAAAAGAAAGAAAGAAAGAAAGAAAGAAACAATGGCAATGACAGTTACTTCTATAAGAAATGCAGCTCTCCAGAAGTGGGCAGTCATTTCTCAGGGACTCAAGGGCAACATGGCTCTTGTTTGCTGGGCTGAAGACAGCATTAGACAATTGGGGCTGTTGGCTTGAGTGTTCTGGTTTTGTCTTGGGGAAGGCAGAGAAAGGATATCCATCTCAGCTGGACATCTGGACATAGCCAGACTGCCCAGTAGACAAGGCTAGAGCCAGCCCAGCTCCCACTGGACAGGGGCTGAGAAGGATTTAAGTGCTAACTCTGTCCCTTAGATGTGTACCACAGACCATGTATAATTCAATACAAATAGGATTCAATTTCCTTCCTCACGGGGCGTTTGTGAGGTCAAGAGAAGACAGACTTCTACCAAGACCAGTAGAGCATGTGAGTTCTTTGTCATCTATTGACACCAGGTCTTCACTCAGAGAACCAGGAAGAAAAGGGTAGTTGAGCTCCATGAGCACCAGCCGCCCATCTGAGCCCACCGTACTGGGGGTGCTTCCCAGTGCTCACTCCACCCAGGGCCCCACATAATCAAACTTCAAGAACAACAGGGCAAGGCTGTAAGTCCCCCTTCCCTCACTCCCTGTCCACCCTCCTAGGACCCCTGTGTCCTCCAGTATGTTTCTCCCTGCGTACTTCTCCATGCTGGGAAGGATGCTGTTGTATTCTCTGATGAACGTGGAAGGGGGTGGCTCATCATCTCGGCTGGGCTGAACTGTCAAATACAGGAATGGAATGGAAGACAGGGTTAACTCTCATTCTCCCAGGCTCTCCTCTCATTCACTCCCCCCAAATCTGTGAGAAATGCCTGGGGTCTCAACAGGGCAATGAACAGATCTATGCTCAGTTTCTCTTCTGCAAGCCCTGTGGGCACCTGTTTCATATGCCACACTGCAAACAGATGGTTCTTTTTTTAAAATTTATTTGTTTTTATTTTATGGTGCATTGGTGTTTTGCTTGCATGTTTGTCTGAGCTTGGAGTTACAGACAGTTGTGAGTTGTCATGTGGGTGCTGGGAATTGAACCCAGGTCCTCTGGAAGAACAGTCAATGCTCTTAACTGCTGAGCCATCTCTCCAGCCCCCAGATAGTCTTTCTTAAGACATGTACCGTGGCTGCACTTCTCACAAACCTACTTGGTTCTACAGTTCCATACTGGGATAGGTTCTCCCATGGACAGGAGTGAGCCTGGCTTCCTTTGAACCACTTAATTCCTAGTCTGATTCATGGTCTGGCCTAGAATAAGCACTTAACAAAGTTTGCTGGTTGGCTGACCAAATGAATGAAATAAAGAGGTAGAGAAAGTCATGTGGGATACCCCTCTGTATGTTATGAATATGTATTCAGGACAGAAGAGAGCCAAGGGGGAAATCCAAACAGAGAGAGCTGGAGAAAAAAGGTGGAGTCAGGGAGATATCAGCAGCCACTGGAGAAGCAAGATGTGAGGTAACAAGCCATGAGCCTCATGGTAAAATACAGAATAATAGAAATGGGTTAATTAAGTTGTAAGAGCTAGTTAATAAGAAGCCTGAGCTAATAGGCTAAACAGTAATTAATATTAAGCCGCTGAGTGGTTATTTTAAAAGCAGCTGCAGGACCGGATGGGAGGAGAAACCTCCAGTTACAAGAAAGTGCTTTGGGGAAACCGTCAGTATCTAGTATGGATGACCAAAAGCTCAGCTTTGGCATGCGCACTCCTACTGTGTCCCTGGAGTGCAACCCAGTACAGTCCAACCAAGATGATCTATCCTCTTTAGTCAGCCTCTGCTCAGCCACTAAGTAAATGACGCTAGAAGCGATAACTACTATTACACCTTACAATTTATTGAACACAGGGCTAAGGGGGTTTTTCATATATTAGCATAATTTACTCCTAATAAAAACGTGTTTCAATGGATCCTTTGACGCTCATGTCAGCACTGGTTCATACAAAGTAAACTAGCCTCAAATAACATTTTCTCGTTAGAGGGCCCTAAGGCATACTAACTTGGGGTGAGAAACGACACCCTTCAAGTCTGAGTGGCAGATAAAAAGCGTTCCACTCTAGAAAGGTCTGGTGTGGCCAGCCAAGAACTCACTCACTTTCACTAATAGTCCACTCGAAAACTCTTACTCCTGCCTCCTCGTTAGGGCTCTATACGACGTGGATGTAGGGGGGCTTGTGGCCCGCCACTTTGCACTCCACCTCTGTCCCTTGTCCACCCCAAGCTGTCCCGGCGGTGTCTCTTCCGCGTCCAGTGTCAGCCTAGCCCTCCTACCTGGTTTCTGGGTGGCGTATGCACGGGTGGCAAGCAGGAGACCTATGCAGAACAGAAAAAGCTGAGACCCATTTCCTTCCGCAGCCCGACACGACCCTCCTACCACGGACTGCGTGCACTTGCACCCAACTCCCACTTCGTCACTCCTTTCCGAGCCACCACCCTTAGCTTCGCATCCAGCCACTGCCTCTCTCCAGTCTCCGGGTGCCTGGCACCCTCCATCCTCGCCCAGCTCCCCTGCCCCCCGCTCGGCGGCTCACTCGGAGTCTGCAGGCCGCAGCGTGCTGAGGGCAGATTGGCGCTTCCTCCGCCCCGCAGCGCAGACCCCGGAGCCTGTGCCACTGCCTGGGCACGAACGGAGCTCAGCGCGCGCCACGCCGCCCGCAGCATGGTGACTCCTGACCCGCGGGCCTGCGCCGCCATTGACCGCTCTGCGGCGGGGCCGGTTACATGGGCGCAGCCATAACGGTTCAGGCTCGACCAATCGAGGTGAGCCCTCGAGAAAAGCAGCCGAAGGCTGAGCGATGGATTGGTAGGGTGCCGAGGGACTGGGGTGGAACTGCCTGGGTTGTCCTGGTGGGTGGCCCGGCAAAGCGCTCTGTGTAAACTCTAAAATGTCACTTATTGACCTTGCATTCAGCCTTAATTTCTTCCTACTGACTTTAGGTCAGTGCTTCTCAACCTATGGATTGCGACCCGTGTGTGTGTGTGTGTGGGGGCGAGTCAAAAGACCCTTTCACAGGGGTCGTATATCAGGTATCCTGCATATCAGATATTTACATTATGATGCATAACAGTAGCAACAAAAATAATTTTATGGTAGGGGGGGTCACCACAACATAAAGAACTGTAGTAAAGGGTCGCAGCATTAGAAAGGTTGAGAACCACTGCCGTAGGCTCCTAGTTTGGGGTGGGGGTGTTTCTGTGGGACCGGCCACACCAGAGGTTAATATTCTTTCTCGTCCCTTCTTCCCCGGAGTCAGGGACCCTGTAAGAACCCCCAAGTTCCAGCCTTTGGGCGGCTTTGTAGCCCAGTGACTGAAGATGGAAATTTCTGGAAGAGTACTGACCGTTACTGAGACCCTGTGTTGTCTACCTTTCTGCACCAGTGCTCTCAAACGTCAGATGGGGATGGTAATGTGTCTTTTAGGTTGTTCTGCCTTTAGATTGAGGCCACTGTATACAAAACACATGGTTAAGTAGTTAGCATTCAGTATTCAGCTAGTTGTGATTATAGTGAAATGAGGGATGTAAGGGCACATATAAAGGAGAAGTAGGGGGTAGAGGGGGGAAAGGGCCAAGGAGAGAATACCCTGCCCCTGACTTGACCCCAAACTTGAGACCAGGGCCAGAGGAAAGTAGACACAGACATAGGCAAGGTTTTTCTGAGGACTCCAATAGCCCAGGAAATAATCTCAAGAATTGGCGGGAGTGTGGTTGCATGAAAATTAAAGTGACTTTGGGCAGCTGGGGTTGTTGTTCAGTTAGCAGAGTCTCTGCCTAGAATGAAGAGTCCTGGGTTGGATCCCCAGCAGTACGTACAAATCGGGTGTAGTGGCATGTGCTTGTAATCCTAGCTCTTTAGAATTGAAGGCAAGAGGATTAGATGTTGTTCAGGGTTGTCTTTGGTTGTGTAGGAGGTTTGAGGCTAACCTGAGCTAGATGAGACCCTGTCTCAGAAAGGCGTGAGGCAGGGAAGATGGTTCAGTTTGTTTGTGCTTGCTCTGCAACCATGAAGCCCCAAGATCAGACTTTAGCAGTCATGTAAAAGCCAGGCATAGTGCCTAGAATTCCAGGGAGGCAGAGTGGATGGCTCCTGGGAGCTCATGGCCAGCTAGTCTAACTGGATCCAGGAGCTTCAGATCCTGTTTACAAAGTGAGGTGAGCTGACTGGAGAGATGAATGCTTGTCACTGAAGAGACAAAAGCTCCCTGTACTTATGTCTCTGGCAGGCCTTGCCCTTATCCCCCAGTCCCTCTGCCTTGCTAAAAACAGATTGTATCCCTAAAACTAGCCTCCAAGGTCTAGTCCCTTATTTGGTCACTTCCTCCTCCTGAGGCTGACTACCAAGGTCCAGCTATCAAAGTATTGAAATCCAGCAATCACAAGCCCCCTTTGGCTTACCCAATTAATATGCCCAATTAAAATTAAACACCTTGCCAGGCAGGGGTGGTGGCACATGCCTTTAATCCCAGCACTTGGAGGCAGTGGCAGGTGGATCTCTTGTGAGTTCGAGGCCAGCCTGGTCTATAGAGCAAATGCCAAGACAGGCTTCAAAGCTGCACAGAGAAACCCTGTCTCAAAAAACCAAAAATTAATTAATTAATTAATTAATTAAATACCTCATCCTAATACAGAATTTTCTATTTTACCTTTATAAACTGCCATTTGCCTATGGGTCGTTTCTATTTTGTCTCTATCCAGAGGCAGTCTTTGTCCCTCTAGAACAAATACCGCTTCCCTGTTATGGTATTTCATTTGTATTTTAGTAAATAAAGCTTGCCGGAGACCAGAACACAAAACAGCCACCCTAGTTAGTCATAGAGGCCAGGTGGTGGTGGAGTGAATACCTTTAATCCCAGCACTAGAGAGGAATATAAGGCGGGATGAGACAGGAACTCACTCTCTTTCAGTTGGAAGATTTCAAAGAGGTAAGAGCTTTCTAGTGGCTTGGCTGCTTTGCTTCTCTGATCTTCAGGTTGAACTCCAATATCTGTCTCTGGGTTTTTATTATTCGAGCTACACTTCTCCCTTCCCCTTGCCCCTTCTCTTCCCCCTCATCCCCTGTCTTTACCACTGCATCCTAGCCCATTCTAACACAGGCCTCCCCTTCTTCTCCTTTTAAAATTACACCTGCATGGTCATTTGCTGCTGTTTTTCTGCCGGAGTCAGAAAGCAGCCACTTTAACTTTTCTTCCCTGCTTAGTAAAGGATCTCTGTGAAAACAGGTGTTTGGGTGTGGTTTGTGCCTAATCCAGGTCTGGGAGGGAACCCCTGCTGTGCGGGGTCCCCTTCAGTTGCTCTTGCAGAGGACCTAGATTTGGTTCCTAGCACACATATGATAGCTCACAGCCTTCTGTACCTCCCTTTCCAGGTGATCTGATGCTCTAGTCTCACCACTGAAGGCACCAGGCATGCATGTGGTTCACATACATGTAGTCAAAGCACTCATACATGTAAAATAAGTAAATCAAAAAAAGAAAGAAAGAAAGAGAAAAAAGTAAGGTGAATGGGCATGGTGGTGCCTGCCTTTAGTCCCTGCACAGGTGGATTTCTGTGAGTTTGAGGCCAACCTGGTTTACAAAGCAAGTTTCAGTCCAACCAGAATTAATAAAATCCTGCCTCAAAAACAATACAAACAAAACCAATAACCATGGAAAGTAGCATTCAAACTTCGGTCTCTACGTGTGTGGAGCCTACAGAATGGAAGAAGATTTGGCCAGTTAGTTATCTAATGGAATTATGCATAGTATACAAAGAGCTCCAATAATTACACTCTCCATACCAAATCATCTCTCGATACATGGGCAAATGAACTGGTCAGACCTCAAAAGAAAAAATGAAAATTGTCAATAGGCATTTGGAAAAAAACAAAACAAAACTCAACGTACCTGGCCACAATGAAAATGCCTATGAAAAGTGCACTGATAGCCGGGTGGTGGTGGTGGCGCACACCTTTAATCCCAGCACTTGGGAGGCAGAGGCAGGCGGATCTCTGTGAGTTCAAGCCAGTCTGGTCTACAAAGCAAGTTCCAGGACAGCCAGAGCTGCTACACAGAGAAATCCCATCTCAAAAAACAAAACAAAACAAGCAAAGTGCATTGAAATCATCTCACCCCAAGATGAATGGCTGTCACTAAGTGTCGGTGTTCTGTGTTGTGACAGATGACCACAGAAAGAGGGTCACTGCAAGCAGAGTTTAGACCTGTGGCAGCAGGGAGGTCCGGCCCTCATGAACTGAACCCTGAACAGCCGTGCAAAGGCGGATTTATTGATTGCTACACAAAAGTTGGGTTTTTTTAGGGGTGGGTGGGTAAAGGTAGTTCCTCAAAGCCCTTTGATCTATACGTTCTCGGAAGGAAACATCACACCCGGCAACTTCAGTCCATATTGTGGACTCTTTGTGGTCCCCAAGGTCGTGAGACACTCCAGGTGTTCCGGGATGGTCTTGTGACTAAAGCCATGGAGAGGACGTAAAACCCCTTCAGAAAATCAACTCTGTAAATCATAGAAAACAATTCCTTTTCTCTACACTGATTTCTTCAAGGTCTCAGTACCTCCAACCAACAACTGCTACCTCCTAATGTTACCCTTGATACAGTGAGGACAACCACTGCGCTCGGATGTACGCCCTAGGTACAATGACTTTCCTTGACTCCCACTCCAGCCAAGAACATAAGTGACAGCAAATGCTGGCGAGGATGTGGAGGAAAGGAAATTCTTTGTTTTTCGAAAAAGGTTTTCTCTGTGTAACAGCTCTGGGTGTCCTGGAACTCTTTTTGTAGACCAGGCTGGCCTTGAACTCACAGAGATTCCCCTGCCTCTGCCTCCTGAGTGCTGGGATTTAAGGTGTGCCACCATTGCCGGGCTTGAAAAGGAAATTCTTATACATTGCTGCTGGGAATGTGTACTGCAGTCACCACAGAAATCAGTATTGGAGGTTCTTCAAAGGGGAAAAACAAAACAAAACCAAGCAAACATCAGAAAAACTAAAAATAGGACTGGATAAAAGGCTCAGTGTGGTGGCTCACAGCTATCTGACAAGTTTCAGGGAACCAGATGTCTTCTGCTGGCCTCTGTGGACACTGTATACGTGTGGTACACAGCCTTATCGCAGGCAAATGCTCACGTACATAAAAATAAGTAAGTCCTTCAAAAAAGGGTAAAGCTTATCTTTGTAATTATCCTTAATTACATTCTGGCTTATTGTATTAAATAATGATGCTCTTATTCTTTTCTTCTTAGGAAAAACGTTTCTGGTTTGGCAAGGGATTTTTTTTTCTATCTATGCTGAGAATCAAACTGCGAGACTCATACTATTAGGCCAATGTTCTACACTGAGCTACATCCTCAGGCCTGAGATATTGTTTTAGTTATATTTCCTCCTCAGTAAGATTTTATTTTATGGGTATAAGTGTTTTGCCTGTATGTACATCTGAGCATCACCGTGTGTCTGCTGCCATGAAGGCTGGAAGAGGGCAGTGGATCTCCCAGAGCAGGAATTACAGATGGTTGTAAGTCACCACGTGGGAGTTGAGATTTGAACCTGGGTTCTCTGGAAGAGAAGCCAGTGCTCTTAACTTCTAAGCTATCTCTCCAGCCTCCAGCCCCCACATACAAGAGAGAGAGAGAGAGAGAGAGGCTTTTGACTTGCTGTGTATCATCACAGCTTGGCCTCAAACATACACCCTTCCTGTGTTGGAGTTATAGGTACCAGCAGGGCTAGTCTCTTCCCTGGCTTCACTGTGTTCCCC